GCAGTGATGTTTTGGGGCTGTCGCTGGGCAACACGGACTTTCAACTCCCTCCAAAGATTTTCTATGGGGTTGAGATCTGGAGACTGGCTAGGCCACTCCAGGACCTTGAAATGCTTGTTACGAAGCCACTCCTTCGTGCTGAAAGACCCAGCCACGTTTCATCTTCAATGCCCTTGCTGATGGAAGGAGGTTTTCACTCAAAATCTCACGATACATGGCCCCATTCATTCTTTCCTTTACACGGATCAGTCGTCCTGGTCCCTTTGCAGAAAAACAGCCCCTAAGCATGATGTTTCCACCCCCATGCTTCACAGTAGGTATGGTGTTCTTTGGATGCAACTCAGCATTCTTTGTCCTCCAAACACGACGAGTTGAGTTTTTTCCAAAAAGTTATATTTTGGTTTCATCTGACCATATGACATTCTCCCAATCCTCTTCTGGATCATCCAAATACACTCTAGCAAACTTCAGATGGGCCTGGACATGTACTGGCTTAAGCAGGGGGACACGTCTTGCACTGCAGGATTTGAGTCCCTGGCGGCGTAGTGTGTTAATGATGGTAGGCTTTGTTACTTTGGTCCCAGCTCTCTGCAGGTCATTCACTAGGTCCCCCCGTGTGGTTCTGGGATTTTTGCTCACCGTTCTTGTGATCATTTTGACCCCACGGGGTGAGATCTTGCGTGGAGCCCCAGATCGAGGGAGATTATCAGTGGTCTTGTATGTCTTCCATTTCCTAATAATTGCTCCCACAGTTGATTTCTTCAAACCAAGCTGCTTACCTATTGCAGATTCAGTCTTCCCAGCCTGGTGCAGGTCTACAATTTTGTTTCTGGTGTCCTTTGACAGCTCTTTGGTCTTGGCCATAGTAGAGTTTGGAGTGTGACTGTTTGAGGTTGTGGACAGGTGTCTTTTATACTGATAACAAGTTCAAACAGGTGCCATTAATACAGGTAACGAGTGGAGGACAGAGGAGCCTCTTAAAGAAGAAGTTACAGGTCTGTGAGAGCCAGAAATCTTGCTTGTTTGTAGGTGACCAAATACTTATTTTCCACCATAATTTGCAAATAAATTCATAAAAAATGCTACAATGTGATTTTCTGGATTTTGCTTTCTCAATTTGTCTGTCATAGTTGACGTGTACCTATGATGAAAATTACAGGCCTCTCTCATCTTTTTAAGTGGGAGAACTTGCACAATTGGTGGCTGACTAAATACTTTTTTTCCCCACTGTATGTAGGCAAAGTGTATATTCGGGATTCGACTACAGTCAAGGTAAATGTTTGTTAGGGGTGGCAGGTGGCTTAGTGGTTAAGAGCGTTGTGCCAGTAACCGAAAGGTCGCTGGTTCTAATCCCCGAGCCGACTAGGTGAAAAATCTGTCGATGTGCCATTAAGCAAGGCACTTAACCCTAATTGCTCCTGTAAGTCGCTCTGGATAAGAGCGTCTGCTAAATGACTCAAATGTAAATGTAAATGTTAGAATTTTGAGTGGAGCATCCATCCCTTCATCCATCCCCAGCTTGTGCAGTGGTGCCCCTTATAATGAAAAAATTAACTGGGGTCAGTTGTGACCATGTGATGGTCTCGGAGTTGCTATCTATGTACAGCGGTTCTCCCAATTTTGAAAACTAAGCTCAGATCAACTCTTAGCCAGGGTCTTAGCCTGAAGGTCTATGCACAGTGGTTCTCCTGGTGCTGTCTCAGGTCCAGTTTGCACTGGAATCCGTAGAGGCAGGTGGTAGGGCTAGTTGCTACTGTGCTGACAGCTGTGGGTGATGAGGTTGGAGCTCTGGCTGAAGGCTTTGCAACACAGGAGGAATGCATGGGGCTTCTCACCTCGGATAGCAGGGCAGAGAGGACAGACTGTATTAAAGGGGAAGTTTTCCTCACACTGACAGTAGTCTATGGACAGTACCAGTCAAAAGTTTGGACACACCGACTCATTCCAGGGTTTTTCTTTATTTTTACTATTATCTACATTGTAGAATAATAGTGAAGACATCAAAACTATGAAATAACACATGTGGAATCATGTAGTAACCAAAAAAGTGTTAAACATATCAAAACATATGTTATATTTAAGATTCTTCAAAGTAGCCACCCTTTGCCTTGATGACAGCTTTGCACACTCTAGGCATTCTCTCAACCAGCTTCATGAGGTAGTCACCTGGAATGCATTTCAATTAACAGGTGTGCCTTGTTAAAAGTTAATTCGTTGACTTTTTTTTCCTTCTTAATGCGTTTTAGCAAATCAGGTGTGTTGTGGCAAGGTAGGGTTGGTATACAGAAGATAGTGCTATTTGGTAAAAGACCAAGTCCATATTATGGCAAGAACAGCTCAAATAAGCAAAGAGAAAAGACATGAAGGTCAGTCTATCCGGAAAATTTCAAGAACTTTGAAAGTTTCTTGAAACTGGCTCTCATGAGGACCGCCACAGGAAAGGAAGACCCAGAGTTACCTCTGCTGCAGAGGATAAGTTCATTAGAGTTACCAGCCTCAGAAATTACAGCCCAAATAAATGCTTCACAGAGTTCAAGTAACAGACACATCTCAACATCAACTGTTCAGAGGAGACTGCGTGAATCAGGCCTTGATGGTCGAATTGCTGCAAAGAAACCACTACTAAAGGACACCAATAAGAAAAAGAGACTTGCTTGGGCCTAGAAACACGAGCAGTAGACATTAGACCAGTGGAAATCTGTCCTTTGGTCTGATGAGTTCAAATGTGAGATTTTTGGTTCCAACCGCCGTGTCTTTGTGAGACACAGAGTAGGTGAACGGATTATCTCTGCATGTGTGGTTCCCACCGTGACGCATGGAGGAGTAGGTGTGATGGTGGGGGGGTGCTTTGCTGGTGACACTTTCTGTGATTTATTTAGAATTAATGGCACACTTAACCAGCATGTCTACCACAGCATTCTGCAGCGATACACCATCCCATCTGGTTTGGGCTTAGTGGGACAATGACCCAACACACCTCCAGGCAGTGTAAGGGCTATTTTACCAAGGAGTGTGATGGAGTGCTGTATCAGATGACCTTGCCTCCACAATCACCCGACCTCAACCCAATTTAGATGGTTTGGGATGAGTTGGACAGCAGAGTGAAGGAAAAGCAGCCAACAAGTGCTCAGCATATGTGGGAACTCCTTCAAGACTGTTGGAAAAGCATTCCAGGTAAAGCTGGTTGAGAGAATGCCAAGTGTGCAAAGCTGTCATCAAAGCAAAGGGTGGCTACTTTGAAGAATCTCAAATATAAAATATATTTTGATTTGTTTAACACTTTTTTGGTTACTACATGATTCCATATCTGTTATTTCATATATTTGATGTCTTCACTATTATTCCACAATGTAAAAAATTGTCAAAACAAACAAAAACCCTTGAATGAGTAGGTGTGTCCAAACATTTGACTGGTAGTGTATACATATATATATTCCCACATACTCTGGCAGGTAGCCACTACATTTTAACAGACACCACATGCCTCTACTAGGGTTGAATGGTGGAAACCCGGTTACCAAGATTTACCGCCAAAAATCACTCCCTTTTCCCGAGATAAATAACTGAGAGGAACCGGTAAATTATAATAAATGATTTATATGAACAGCATGATGTGAAATGGAACTGTTAAATTATATGTGATGTCTAAATCTGGCTTCTCTAAGGCCTTCTTCTCTCTGCATGATCAATCATCAATGCTCAGGGTGGGGACATACAGCTCATCTCAGTATGGAGCGCAGTTCACAATTTATGTAGACTTATCATCTCATCATGGTTACTTTTTTTCTTGTGACAGCTAGGCCCTGCATTTGCTGCAGCACAGCCTATGTTACAATAATATAAGGACCGAATGTGGCTTTCAGGGGTCACCTTATTTTTTAATTGTAAAGATATATATTTTTTAATTGCAGGTGCAGAGTTTTAAAACAGCCTATCACTCAAATACAGTTGCTTTAAATCTGTGCACGTGCGAGCACTCTCTAGCAGTCTTTCTCAATTCCATTCAAATTGCATCCAAAATAGACAATCCTGTTCAAGATTGATATAGGCCTATACAGTGGGGAGAACAAGTATTTGATACACTGCTGATATTGCAGGTTTTCCTACTTACAAAGCATGTAGAGGTCTGTAATTTTTATCATAGGTACACTTCAACTGTGAATCTAAAACAAAAATCCCGAAAATCACATTGTATGATTTTTAAATAATTAATTTGCATTTTATTGCATGACATAAGTATTTGATACATCAGAAAAGCGGAACTTAATATTTGGTACAGAAACCTTTGTTTGCAATTACGAAGATCATACGTTTCCTGTAGGTCTTGACCAGGTTTGCACACACTGCAGCAGGGATTTTGGCCCACTCCTCCATACAGACCTTCTCCAGATCCTTCAGGTTTGGGGCTGTCGCTGGGCAATACGGACTTTCAGCTCCCTCCAAAGATTGTCTATTGGGTTCAGGTCTGGAGACTGGCTAGGCCACTCCAGAACCTTGAGATGCTTCTTACAGAGCTCTCTGGTCTTGGCCATTGTGGAGAGGTTGGTGTCTGTTTGATTGAGTGTGTGGACAGGTGTCTTTTATACAAGTAACGAGTTCAAACAGGTGCAGTTAATACAGGTAATGAGTGGAGAACAGGAGGGCTTCTTAAAGAAAAACTAACAGGTCTGTGAGAGCCGGAATTCTTACTGGTTGGTAGGTGATCAAATACATATGTCATGCAATAAAATGCAAATTAATTATTTAAAAATCATACAATGTGATTTTCTGGATTTTAGTTTTAGATTCCGTCTCTCACAGTTGAAGTGTACCTATGATAAAAATTACAGACCTCTACATGCTTTGCAAGTAGGAAAACCTGCAAAATCAGCAGTGTATCAAATACTTGTTCTCCCCACTGTATGAGTATTGCCACTTTCTACTTGGAAGCTAGTGACATAGAGGTTCTGAGGGAGAAGGCTCTTCTTAAAGGTGCCTTCCAGGATGAGGATGGAGTCACCTTTCTTGAGTTGACTCCCCTCGATGAGGTCACAGAGAGCCATCTTCTCTGCCTTGTAGTAGAGACGCACTTTGCCGTCTGTGGCGTTGGCTATATTACAACCTAAGAGAATGAGAGAACAAAAGAGAAACAGAGAGAGAGAGAGAGAGAGAGAGAGAGAGAGAGAGAGAATCAATACTGGACAGTGCTGAAAGAAATGTGGTTGTCAGTATTAGGTGTTTGCTAGGAACACTGCTGAGAGCAACAGTCACACACACTACAGTCGTGGTCAAAAGTTTTGAGAATGACACAAATACTAATTTTCACAAAGTCTGCTGCATCAGTTTTGATGATGGCAATTTGCATATACTCCAGAATGTCATGAAGAGTGATCAGATGAATTGCAATTAATTGCAAAGTCCCTCTTTGCCATGAAAATGAACTTCATCCCCCAAAAAACATTTCCACTGCATTTCAGCCCTGCCACAAAAGGACCAGCTGCCATCATTTCAGTGATTCTCTCATTGACACAGGTGAGAGTGTTGACGAGGACAAGGCTGGAGATCACTCTGTCGTGCTGATTGAGTTAGAATAACAGACTGGAAGTAGTAAGATTGCACCTAAATCAACCATTTATCAGATCATCAAGAACTTCAAGGAGAGAGGTTCAATTGTTGTGAAGAAGGCGTCAGGGCGCCCAAGAAAGTCCAGCAAGCGCCAGGACCGTCTCCTAAAGTTGATTCAGCTGCGGGATCAGGGCACCACCAGTGCAGAGCTTGCTCGGGAATGGCAGCAGGCAGGTGTGAGTGCATCTGCACTGATGTGTATGTTTGGACTCCTTCATTAGCATTGTTAATCCACCCACTACTGTCTTTAGTCAAGAGTACACTACACACTCTCTAGCATGGTCTTACGAAGCATGGTCTTTTTTTACATTACCTAATTTTCTGAAATTCTACAGTTTGACATGACTTACTATGCCACTCTTGAGAGGTATATGTAGAGGTACTATGAAAATGCAGTCTAACTGGAAGGCCCCCCCAACAACAACAAAAACGTTTTGGGAAAATTGTGAACTAACTGCATTTCAACATATTTTGCCATGGGGCAGAGAAATGTGTAGTTTTATGTCTGAGAGAATTTAGCAGTTTTAAAGCTAATTTCCTGCAATTCTACACTTGGCCATTGGGCAGAGATAAATAAATGTGGTTCTATAGCTCATGTCATGCTATTCTTTACATTTTGCCATGAGGATGAGAGAAAATTATGCAGTTTTAATGTAACTGTCCAGTGACAATCTCACTTAAGTTAATATTCTGTTAACTTATACGCAAATAATGTTGACTCATACTATACTTGTATTTGTGGCGAAAGCATACATTTCCTCAGAGGATGTCATCGTCCTGAGGCGGATGAGCTGGCCAATCAGCAGTCTACTCGCATGAATATTTAATGAACGGTATACGCCCAAGCCATTCTGTTGTTGGGGTATGCCCACACCATTCCAACACAGAAAATATGCCTAACATACTTAATTAAACATTTTTGGGAAGGAAAACTATTTCACTCATATTGTAATTAATTATGTTTCATAGAAATCTGGAAACACTGGGCAATTACTTTAAAGGTAGACTTTGGTCAAAAACGCAAAAATAACAGCTTTAAACTTTAATCTGGTATGATGGTGCATTGATCAGTTATTTAATGCTCGGTGCAGTGGAGGGCTTGAAGGTTGTAGTGATCAGGTGTTCTAGTGCAGAGTGGAGAGATGGCTCGACCTTTATAGGGTAGCGCTGACAGAGGGTGGGAGGGTGTTTCTTAGCCCAATACCAGGTAAAAGTTTGTGCCAGAGAACTGGAGAGAACGATTCAGTTCGAGAACTGGCGTAGGCGTCACAAGAGCAGTATATTTGGATGTCAAGCACTAAAATGTATTTTATCTCCGTGCCATACCTTTAACTACCCCTGACAGGTAAATCACTGACAATCAAGGGAGCTTGATCACCTAAAATAATAAAACAATGATCAGACTAAGAATTAAAAAATTGTGACCATGTGAGTCTCTGAGTTGCTATCTATGTGGAGTTGTTCACTTGCTTATTAAAACTGATCTCAGATCAGCTGGTAGCAGTGTCTTTGCCTGAAGGTCTATACGCTGTCTCAGGTCCAGTTTGTGCTGGAAGCCGTAGAGGCAGCAGTGTTAGGGCTGGTTGCCACTGTGCTGACAGCTGCTAGTGATGAGGTTGGAGCTCTGGCTGAAGGCTTTGCCACACACCTGGCACACATGGGGCTTCTCACCTGGGATAGGAGGGCAGAGGGGACATATTGTATTAAAGGGGAAGTTCATTATTTTATAATGTAATGTTAGATGGTTCCTCACCCCGAAAGTAGTCTATGTGCCAGGAAAAACTAACGCATGGTTCGGTTTCTTTAAACAGCCACTACAAACTTCAGCTAGCTTAATCCAAATCAATGGGAGTGGTAGGGGCTGTTTTTTAAATATTTTATATATATTCCCACATACTCCGGCACATAGCCACTACATTCTTAACAGGCACCACATGCCCCTACCACTCCCATTTTTTTTTTTGTTCTTTTCTTTTCAATAGTTAATACGTTTCTAACGTGACAGTGATAACGTCAAGATCCCTATACATATTGACTCACCTGTGTTTAATTGCAGATTTCTGGTGATATCTTTTGCCACAATATTGACAGGGGGAGGGCCGTGTGTATAGGGTGGAGGAACGCTTGAACACTCACACACACCTTACAGCCAAACGTACGTTCCTGAAATGCATGAGAACACAGCATATAGGCAATATATTTTGTGGAACATTTTATTTATTGGGTTGTCACATTCATTTCAATCACAGTTTCATATGAAGTTTAATTAATACTTTTTTACAAATACACCAAAACAAACATATATGACCTAATATAGGTCATATAGTATAGGCCCCTCAAACTCAACTCTGGACTTAGAAGCCAGTTCCACACCATTTTTTCATTGTTCCCCTCCAATCAGGGACTGATTTAGACCTGGGACACAAGGTGTGAGCAATTAATTATCAGGTAGAACAGAAAACCAGCACGCTCCAGACCTCGTAGGGTAAGCGTTCAATACCCCTGGTATAGGCCATATAGTCATGTATAGGGTCTACTGGGGTGTGTTTTCTTGTATATAGTTTATAACTGGCATTAAAACCTTAATAAACAGTCCTACAATATCAAATATTTCATTCAGTGTATCTACTTTGAACCAAGGTTGGGGCCAAAACCATTTTGATGACCGAATTAAAATGGAATTGACCCCAACCCTGCTTTAACATGTACAGTTATGAATATAACTACTGTTCCCTGAAGGAGGGAATGAGGTCAGTGGAGGCTGCTGAGGGGAGAACGGCTCATAATAATGGCAGGAACGGCGCAAATGGAATGGCATCAAACACCTGGAAACCATGTGTTTGATGTATTTGATACCATTCCGCTCCCATCATTACCACAAGCCTGTTCTCCCCAATTAAGGTGCCACCAACCTCCTGTGAATGAGGTATAACATACTATGGGGAGTCAATAACCAATCATATCCACCTGAAGAAATCACACCCAACCTGGCAAATGGATGCCCGCCCTCATAAGCCCGCCTTCCTGGCTATAATATCGGGGTTCGTATTCATTTCCTCAATTCAGTACCGCTCTTCAGCGTGTGCTGCATAGCATCGACCAGAGTTGATGAACCACGGCAGCCCGAGGCTCAAACCCACAGGAAACCTGCAGTAACCTGGAAACTGTGTACTCACACGCTGCCACGGCAGGCCAAGGCTCACACTAATAGGAAACTGTGGTAACCCTGATAATGCACACTTTACGCACTGCTGCACAACAAGGCAGGACAAAACATCACTTTGGAGTCGCCAGGCGCGAACTCCAAACAGGAAAGGTGTATTGATAGCATGTGGAGATCCCCAATGCCAAGGCCATGAGCAGGGCAGTTTTGTAGAAAAGGACCTTCAGATCCACAGAATCTAATGGTTCAAATGGAGACCAAAGCCAGGTCCCAGGTCGGTGCCTTAGGCTTAGACACTGTTCCAAGCAGACGCACACCTTTCAGGAACGGCAGCACCAGAGGGTGAGACCCCAGGGTAGAGCCGTCAAACCCTACATGACACGCTGAAATGGCTGCCATATAAACCTTCAATGTGGAAAAAGAAAGGCCCTGCTCAAAAAGCTCTTGCAAGTACATCAATGTCCACCAAAGAGCTCTGAAAAGGAAAAACTCTTAACCTGACACCAACCTTCAAACGCGTGCCACTTATACACTACCAGTCAAACGTTTGGACACACCTACTCATTCAAGGGTTTTTCTTTATTTTTACAATTTTTTACATTGTAGAATAATAGTGAAGACATCAACTATGAAATAACACATGGAATCATAATAACCAAAAAAGTGTTAAACAAATCAAAATATATTTTATATATGAGATTCTTCAAATAGCCACCATTTGCCTTTGACAGCTTTGCACACTCTTGGCATTCTCTCAACCAGCTTCATGAGGTAGTCACCTGGAATGCATTAAAATTAACAGGTGTGCCTTCTTAAAAGTTAATTTGTGGAATTTATTTCCTTAATGCGTTTCAGCCAATCAGTTGTTGTGACAAGATAGGGGGGGGAGGGGGGGGGGGGGGGGGGGGGGTATACAGAAGATATCCCTATTTGGTAAAAGACCAAGTCCTTTGGTAAGAACCGCTCAAATAAGCAAAGAGAAAAGACAGTCCATCATTACTTTAAGACATGAAGGTCAGTCAATACGGAACATTTCAAGAACCTTGAAAGTTTCTTCAAGTGCAGTCGCAAAAACCATCAAGCGCTATGATGAAACTGGCTCTCATGAGGACCGCCACAGGAATGGAAGACCCAGAGTTACCTCTGCTGCAGAGGATAAGCATGGTCCTCTGGTCCTCTGTAGCTCAACTGGTAGAGCACGGCGCTTGTAACGCCAAGGTAGTGGGTTCGATCCCCGGGATCACCCATACACAAAAATGTATGCACGCATGACTGTAAGTCGCTTTGGATAAAAGCGTCTGCTAAATGGCATATTATTATTATTATTATTATAAGTTCATTAGAGTTACCAGCCTCAGAAATTGTAGCCCAAATAAATGCTTCAGAGTTCAAGTAACAGACACATCTCAACATCAACTGTTCAGAGGGGACTGTGTGAATCAGGCCTTCATGGTCAAATTGCTGCAAAGAAACCACTACTAAAGGACACCAATAAGAAGAAGACACCTGCTTGGGCCAAGAAACACGAGCAATGGACATTAGACCGGTGGAAATGTGTCCTTTTGGTCTGGAGATTTTTGGTTCAAACCGCCTTGTCTTTGTGTGACGCGGTGTGGGTGAACGGATGATCTTCGCATATGTATTTCCCACCGTAAAGCATGGAGGTGGTGTTATGGTGTGGGGGTGCTTTGCTGGTGACACTGTCTGATTTATTTAGAATTCAAGGCACACTTAACCAGCATGGCTACCACAGCATTCTGCAGCTATTCGCCATCCCATCTGGTTTGTATGTACTGTATGTTTAAACCCTCTCGTAGAAGGTGCACGTGCCAACTGTATAGTCAATCACGTTCAAGGATAAATCCCTGGCCGTCAAATTCAACCTTTCATGGGCCAAACCCACAGATACCATATGTGGCCGTGGATGCCAAACTCTCCACAGGTCCCCGCCCAACAGGCAGATGATCTCCAGGAACCATGGTTGTCTGGTCCAACGGGGAGCCACCAGAATCAACAACAGACCCTCCTGATGGACCCTCTCCACTGTGACCCGAGTCAGGTCCACTGGAGGAAACGCATAGAGCATTGTCCGAGGCCACTGATACGCCAAAGCATCCGTTCCCACTGGAGTGCCCAGATCCCCCATTGTGAAGAAGACAACAATGCACATTTTCTCGCGATGCGTAAAGATCTGCCGAACTGGACCCATCTCTGGGCAACCACCGAGGGGTACAGTATCCACTACGGAGAGATAGGACCCCCCTGGAAAGTAGATCCGCACCCACGTTGAGAAATACGGGAAGATACGTCGCCCTGAGTAACGGGAAATGCGCACTGCTCCATACGAGCAGATAACGGGCCAGGTTTAGGAGAGACTGAGACCACGTCCCCTCCTGCCTGTTGATGTAAGCCACCACTGTCTTGTTGTCGGACCAACACATGCTGGTCCTCAAACATTGGAAGGAAACGCCTTAGCGCTAGCAAACAGTCAGTAGCTCTAGGTAATTGATATGCAGCACCCTTTTGCGCTGTTGACCAAATCCCTCTTTCAGAGTAGCCCAGTAAGGATGTGTCTGTCTTGATCACCCTCCGGGACACTACCCGGCCCATGAGAACCTTCTGGAACAGCAGTCGCGGGTCCCTCCAAGAAGTCAACGCCCTTAGGCACAACGGGAATACTTTGAGCAACCGATGGCAGTGGCGAAATGTGCGTAGCAATCACCCAGCGTTGAAACAGACGCATCAACAGAAGTCCCAGAGGCAGCACAACTATCAGAGGCCATCAGACCCAATAACCACAGGCATAAGCGAAAAGGCACAGGGTGCCCCAGCTGATACCGTGCCAGACAGAGACTGAATGCGACCCTCTGTTGAGACAAAAACGCATGATTCAGAACCGAATCCAGAACGAGACCCAGAAACTGAATGAGCTGAGTCAAACAAATGTTCTTGTGATTCACTATGAACCCTAGAGACTGAATATGGGAAACCAGCGTGGCAGTGTGGAGCTCCACCTGTTCCCTCGACTCCAGTATGACCAACCAATCGTCCAGATAGGCCAATGAAAATAAGTGGGGCGATAGGGAGAGCCCTAAAGGAAGGACAAGAAACTCGTAGGCCACCCTCTCGAAATGAAACCTTCAAAACTTTCTGTGGCGAGGAAGTATAGCCACATGAAAATACGCATCCTTCAAATCTATGGACGTGAACCAATCACTAAGACACACCGACTGCAATAGCCCAAGAAGTGTGAGCATTTTGATCTTGCAAACCTTGAGGTGCTTGTTTAAAACAAGCAAGTCCAGGAGTCCATCGCTCTTGAAACTACAAAGGACTGGCTGTACCAATTGCTCTGTACTTCTGACACGGGGACCACTATGGATGATTTTCTATATATGGATGATTTTCTAGTACATATGTTGTAGAATTAAACACCTATATGCCTTAAATGCTTATGGATTGAGAACCAGTTGAAGGGTTAAAACAGAGCAGAGACATTTCTTTAGTGCAAACGCTGTGCTTTTGATAACTCCCTGCAGCTGGTCTGGGTATGTCAATGACATGTGATGGAGATACAACTCCTCGTGGTGGCTGTGTGGAGATTGGAGTAACAATGGAACTAGTGTTATCATTTGTTTGTGCTTATGACCTGACACATAGCCACATACACAGTCACAAGGCCAAACCAGGGTCCTGGGAGGATGCTTTTTGGGATTGGCTTAAATGTATGTGGTTGAGAATGGGTTATGGCCATGACATGTTTAAACCATGTTTAAGTGTTCATGTTTTATAATGTGTTATGAAATGATAAAGGTAAAACAGAATGAACATGATTGATACTTTGTACTCCAGATGCATGTCTGGATAGTGAATATAGTCAATACAGAGTGTGATTGTTCTTTAACGCACGTATGTATATAATTTTTTGAGTCACGCCACTAATAAGAGACAGAAGCCCCACTTAGAGAAATGCACGTAGCCTCGTGAGTAGCCAACATGTGATACTGAAAGATGTTATTCATTCACATAGAGAGGAGTAACTATGTATGTTGTATAAGCATGACTATGCATTTGTGTCTGTATAAAAGGAGAGCTCCGGGTCAGGGCAAGTAGTTGCTCCATGGAGCAAGCTCGGCTTTGTTACGCAATAATAAAGTCAAATTTTTGGATTCACAAGCTCCAGTTTCTTGAGAGAGATTTTTGAGTTGACTACTTTTGAGTCAAATATTTCTACGACATAAATGGCGAGTGTTGCCAGGGGTTGAAAACAGGGACCAGAGATGGTCTCTCCAAATTTAAGAACCAGAAAATTAGAGACTGGGAGCTTTTGGATTTAAAATGCATGTTAAATGAAAAAGCCTCAAGGGTTGCAATAAATAGAAAATAGCTTAAGTAAGAGTAGATCTGCTCAGTCCGAGTGGGTGGATGGTCTGCTTGGGTCGGTGTGGTTCATTCATTGTGGTTAAGTGGGGTGGGTTATCTGTCTCGTTTGGGTTGATCATTTGGTCAGTGTGATTGCATCCGTTTGACTAATTCGACTGTTTTGTGTGACGCGTCTTGTACCCGTCAAATGTCTCTCGGCTGCTCATCTGACGCGTCTGTTCAATTCGGTCGATTCATTTGATTCGTCTTGCTGATCATTTTGTCTGGGTCATTTCGGCACGGGCGGCTGTCCATCTGTTTGAACGATCAGAAAATAAATAGGTAGAAGTCCTGCAATACCGCTCTAAATGTGTTGAGGAAGTGTATCATTTAGAGGACTGCTTAGGTAGGCAAAAAATCCTGTATAATACCGCTTTTCCTGTGTCGAGGAAGTGAATCAGGAAAAGGGCTGCATTTACAGGTCGCTTAGGAAAGCCTAGGTAGAAGTCCTGCAATACCCCTCTAAATGTGTTGAGGAAGTGTATCATTTAGAGGACTGCTTAGGTAGGCAAAAATCCTGTGCAATACCACTTTTCTCTGTGTCGAGGAAGTGAATCAGAGAAGAGGGTCGAAATTACAGGTCGCTTAGGAAAGCATAGGATAGGTAAAGGTGTGTCGAGGAAGTGAATCACCTAGAGGGCTATATAGGTATATAGTAATCCTGTATAAAACAGTTTTTCTTGTGTCGAGGAAGTGTATCAAGAGAGGGGTAAATTTACAGGTAACTTAGATACGTGTGTGGAAGAGTGAGAGTGCAAGTGAGTGTGAAAGTTTCTGTCCTTGGTGGAGAAAGGTTGACGCACCTTTCCTGGAACGTTGCTTAAGTGTAACCTTGTGGGAAGGATGCACCCGGTCTCACACCAGGAGAGGAAGACTGAATGGTGTGTGGATGCTCATAGGGGTAGAAACACACATATAGCTGAGTGGTTTAAAGTTAAGAAAAACACTAGCAAGGGAAAGATTCATGAGGTGTTCCACACAAAAGAAAAGTGGACATCAGGAGATATTATATTAGTGTTAAGAAAAACACTAGCAAGGGAAAGATTCATGAGGTGTTCCACACAAAAGAAAAGTGGACATCAGGAGATATTATATTAGTGTTAAGAAAAACACTAGCAAGGGAAAGATTCATGAGGTGTTCCACACAAAAGAAAAGTGGACATCAGGAGATATTATATTAGTATCATATAAAGAGATTGTCAAATGACCATTAATAATAAGTTCTGACCAAACAATAATTAAAAAAGCACAAATAAGTTTAACAGCAAAAGCGAATATTAATATAAAAATAATTAAGAAGGAGAAATAAATAAATAGGATGAATACTAAAATAGATTAAAAATAAGTTACAAAATACAGGCCATAAATATGAATAAAACGGCGGTAGAAATACTGAGTGCTAGGTATCCCTTAGGCAATGGAGAAATAGCGAAAACATCTGAAAAATGGGAGAAACGCACCAGAAAAATGGGCACCAAATGGCCAGAAGGAGGAACATTTGATGTCACGGTATGTGAGGAAATGGAAACACTGACAAAGAACTATAAAGCAAAAGACACAGGAAAGAAGAGAAGCGCCAAAAGAGAAAGAGAAAAATAAGTACTCAACATGTTCAAAATGGAAGGAGAAGGATTGCTAAAGAACATGCGAGAAGCCAGAAACATGTTGAGAAAAGATGATGAGAAAACAAACAAAAAGAAAGCAGATTGGTCTGTGGGACCCCCACCATATGTTGGTGGACAATATCCCCAGGTGTCCGGAGTAGTATCAATAAAAGGAGAAATAGAAATGGAAGAAGAAAGACCTTTGTTTACATCCTCCCAAAGGATGGAAAAAGACTCAAAGAAAACAGAAGGAATCAAGCGAAGGGCAGAAATCAAGCCAAACAGATTGGATTGCTATGGAGAGCTGAGGGAAGCATTGGGAAGAATGAAAATGACGAAAAGAGATGATGGAGAACTCTCAGATGAAGAAATTGCAGATATTGAAGCAACAATCAAACTAATAGAGAAAGAAATGGACAGGATGAGGAGAATATTGAGAGAAAAGGAAGAAGTAGAGAGGGAGCAGAGTGAGGTAAGACAGCGGACAGGCAGAGACCTAGAGGAGGAAGAAGGAGCAGCAGCTGAAATATGGGGAGATTGCAATCAAGGCGTAAGGGAAGAAAGATTGAGGAATAGGAGAACTTTGAGAAGACCTGAAAAATACAAGGGACAATATCCAATTCTAATAAAAGGTACCCAGGCTCACTATGTTCCGTGGGGATCACATGACCTGGAAGGATTGGTTGCCTGTCTGCCAGATTTGCATGATGGGGCAGGAAAATGGATAAGGATTTTTGAGGAACAAACCATGGGGAAACTGCTGGCTGTGGGGGATCTGAAGGCGCTGTTGCCAAGGGTGGTTGGAAAGGCAAAAATTGAGGATATACTAGGGAACAGTGACCTGAGGAGAGAAGTGAGTGACCCACAAGGAGATGGGATGGACTTTGATTCACACCGCCCTGATGTCTGGCGAGCACTGAGACTGGAATATCCTGCAAGAATTGACCCCAAGTCACTGAAAGGGGGGACACTGGGAGAAACTGAAAATCCAGCTGCCTATCTACATGAACAGATGAAACGATGGAGACTGGAAACAGAACGAGATCCAGAAGGGGACCCACTGATGACAACTCTATTCCGAAACTCAATAATAGAAGCCATGCCTCAATCAGTGAGAAGCAGGCTGGAGGATCTGGTGGGACTTACCTCAAAGACACACAAATAATTATGTGACCATGTGATACATACAGTAGAAAAACACAGAAAAGATTAACAGAGATTTAAAGAGCAAGGGAGAGACATTCAGAAGAAGCTGACTCAACTCCAATTGGAAGAATTGACAAACAGAGTGAAGAAGAAAATCCAGGCCCCAGTAACAGCACCTATGACTGAAACAGGAATGGTGGCTGCAGTCACTCCAGGAGGGCCATATCCGCCTCCCGCGCCACAGGCCCAAGTACAACCCACAGTACCAGTAGTGAATGTGTATGCACAACAACCCCGGCAATGGAATAATAACAATAAACAGCAAAAACCTCAGCAATACAATCAAAAAGGAGGAAATCGGTGCCCACAAGGGCCACCTGGAATTTGCTGGGGATGCCAACAGCCAGGGCATACCAGACGAAACTGCCCCACAAACCCCTGGCAACAGCCGGGGAACAAAAATCAAAGTAATTGGAAGCAGACTGACGGCTGGCAACAAAATCAGCAACAAGTCCAAGGTCCTGTGAATCCATGGGCAGGGCCTAATCAGGGGTACTAGGGGTGCCCAGAGAATCCTACAGGGGAGGGTCAGTTTCCAGTACTAACTACGCGAGCTGATCAAGAACTTATGCTGCAGGTTCAAATAGAGAACAGAGGCACACCCATGATGTTTGATACTGGAGCCACTTACACCTGTGTAAGTCAAAATTATGCCTCTCACCTCCCCATGTCTGGCAAATATGCCAAAACTGTAGGATTCTCGGGACAAACACAGTTCATTCCAATGACAGCTCCAGTTCGCCTGATAGCGGATGACAAATCCGCAACCCTCCCTATACTTGTATCAGAACACACCTCTGTCAATCTATTGGGAAGAGATGCCCTATGCAAAATGGGTATACAAATTCGATGTTCCTCCGAAGGGGTAATTATAGACAAGGCAGGGTTAAACTTACAAATGGTAATGAAACAGGATACAGCAAATGTCTATTGGTTAGGGGATATTGAGACAGAAGTAGATAGGGTAGTCAGGAAATGGGGTAGGTTTATTCAGGCTCAGATACCAGTGAGATTCTACTAATCTCACTGCAACTCCCCTCCAAGTCTCCGACCACTACTTTGTATCCTTTTCTCTCTCCCTCTCCTCCAACACTACTCACTCTGCCCCTACACAGATGGTAATGCGCCGTCGCAACCTTCGCTCTCTCTCTCCCGCTACTCTCTCCTCTTCCATCCTATCATCTCTTCCCTCTGCTCAATCCTTCTCCCTCCAATCTCCTGATTCTGCCTCCTCATATCCCTCTCCTCCCTTTCTGCATCCTTTGACTCTCTATGTCCCCTATCCTCCCGGCCGGCTCGGTCCTCCCCTCCAGCTCCGTGGCTTGATGACTCATTGCGAGCTCACAGAACAGAGCTCCGGGCAGCTGAGCGGAAATGGAAGAAAACTAGACTCCCTGCTGACCTGGCATCTTTTCACTCCCTCCTCTCTACATTTTCTTCATCTGTTTCTGCTGCTAAGGCCACTTTCTACCACTCTAAATTCCAAGCATCCGCCTCTAACCCTAGGAAGCTCTTTGCCACATTCTCCTCCCTGCTGAATCCCCCCCCCCCTCCTCCCTCTCTGTGGATGACTTCATCAACCATTTTGAAAAGAAGGTTGACGACATCCGATCCTCGTTTGTTAAGTCAAATGACACTGCTGGTCCTGCTCACACTGCCCTACCCTATGCTTTGACTTCTTTCTCCCCTCTCTCTCCAGATAAAATCTTGCGACTTGTGACTGCAGGCCGCCCAACAACCTGCCCGCTTGACCCTATCCCCCCCTCTCTTCTCCAGACCATCTCCGGTGACCTTCTCCCTTACCTCACCTCGCTGATCAACTCATCCTTGACTGCTGGCTATGTCCCTTCCGTCTTCAAGAGAGCGAGAGTTGCACCCCTTCTCAAAAAACCAACACTCGATCCCTCTGATGTCAACAACTACAGACCAGTATCCCTTCTTTCTTTTCTCTCCAAAACTATTGAGCGTGCCGTCTTTAGCCAACTCTCTTGCTATCTCTCTCAGAATGACCTTCTTGATCCAAACCAGCCAGGTTTCAAGACTGGTCATTCAACTGAGACTGCTCTTCTCTGTGTCACAGAGGCTCTCCGCACTGCTAAAGCTAACTCTCTCTCCTCTGCTCTTGTCCTTCTAGACCTGTCTGCTGCCTTTGATACTGTGAACCATCAGATCCTCCTCTCCACACTCTCCGAGCTGGGCATCTCCGGCGCGGCTCACTCTTGGATTGCGTCCTACCTGACCGGTCGCTCCTACCAAGTGACGTGGCGAGAAGCTGTCTCCGCACCACGTGCTCTCACCACTGGTGTCCCCCAGGGCTCAGTTCTAGGCCCTCTCCTATTCTCGCTATACACCAAGTCACTTGGCTCTGTCATATCCTCACATGGCCTCTCCTATCATTGCTACGCTGACAACACACAACTAATCTTCTCCTTTCCCCCTTCTGATAACCAGGTGGCGAATCGCATCTCTGCATGTCTGGCAGACATATCAGTATGGATGACGGATCACCACCTCAAGCTGAACCTCGGCAAGACGGAGCTGCTCTTCCTCCCGGGGAAGGACTGCCCGTTCCATGATCTCGCCATCACGGTTGACAACTCCGTTGTGTCCTCCTCCCAGAGTGCGAAGAGCCTTGGCGTGACCCTGGACAACACCTTGTCGTTCTCCGCTAACATCAAGGCGGTGACCCGATCCTGTAGGTTCATGCTCTACAACATTCGGAGAGTACGACCCTGCCTTACACAGGAAGCGGCACAGGTCCTAATCCAGGCACTTGTCATCTCCCGTCTGGATTACTGCAACTCACTGTTGGCTGGGCTCCCTGCCTGTGCCATTAAACCCCTACAACTCATCCAGAATGCCGCAGCCCGTCTGGTGTTCAACCTTCCCAAGTTCTCTCACGTCACCCCGCTCCTCCGCACACTCCACTGGCTTCCAGTTGAAGCTCGCATCTGCTACAAGTCCATGGTGCTTGCCTACGGAGCTGTGAGGGGAACGGCACCTCCGTACCTTCAGGCTCTGATCAGTCCCTACACCCAAACGAGGGCACTGCGTTCACCTCTGGCCTGCTGGCTCCCCTACCTCTGCAGAAGCATAGTTCCCACTCAGCCCAGTCAAAACAGTTCGCTGCTCTGGCACCCCAATGGTGGAACAAGCTCCCTCACGACGCCAGGACAGCGGTGTCACTCACCACCTTCCGGAGACATTTGAAACCCCACCTCTTTAAGGAATACCTGGGATAGGATAAAGTAATCCTTCTACCCCCCCCCTTTTTTTAAAGTGACTGGCAGAGGGAGGACACAAGGTGTCAAAAACGAAACTCCAGTACTGCCAATCTCAAGTTGAATATCTAGGAAGAACAATTGCGCATGGGACAAAGGCAATAGCACCAGGACAACTGGAAGGAATCAGTTCCCTTAAACGGTTGCGCAGATGATGACGTTCCTAGGGATGACTGGATTCAGCTCAGACTGGATAGAGGAGTATGCGGTTAAAACAGCTCCTCTGCGAGAAATCATGAAAGAAGCAGGACAACTAGACCTTAGAGCAAGCCTGGAATGGAACAGTGATGCATTAACTGCATTTGAAACAATGAAGAAGGAAATGCAGTCAGCTCCGGCTCTAGCAGCCCCGGATTACACAAAACCATTCTTGTTGTATGTGGCAAATAGATGTGATAGGTATGCAACGGCGGTACTTATGCAAGAGACGTGCAGTGGAAGACGAAAACAACCCATTGCTTATTATAGTTCTAAACTAGATTCTGTTGCTCAGGGATATCCACCCTGCTATCAAGATTTAGCTGCATTACAATATGCATATGACAAAGCGTCCACAATTACTATGGGATACCCGGTAACAATACATACACATCATAAAATAGTGGAACTGATAGAAAAAGGAAAGTTTGTTCTTACCAATGCTAGAACTTTAGAATACATGACTCTACTGACCTATCCAGATGTTTCCATTAAACGATGCAGTACAGTACATCCAGCTGAAAGAATCCCTTTGGAGTTTGAGGGACAAGCACATTACTGTGTAGCAGACTCATTGACATTTACCCGACTAAGGCCAGACTTGGAGTCAACCCCTTTGTCCAGCGTGGGGGAAGAGTGCATAGAAGAGTATTTTGTGGATGGATCATGTTATAAAGATAATGTGGGAAATCATGCAGGCTATGCAGTAGTACAAAAGCAAGGAGAGGATTTTAAAGAGGTAATAGCAGAATACTGTCCACAGCCATGCTCAGCCCAATTAGCTGAACTAAAAGGACTCACTGCAGCTTGCATCCTGAGAAAACGAAAAACTGTTAATATCTATACTGATTCAGCATATGCACATGGTGTGTGTCACTTATTTGGGGCAGTCTGGAAGGAGCGAGGGTTCAGGAAAAGCGATGGTACACCCATACAACACCACGAGCAGATTGTGGAATTAATGACGGCGTTAATGTATCCCACTAAATTGGCGATAGTGAAATGTCAGGCGCATAGGAAAGGAAAAGGATATATAACCAAAGGAAACAATGCAGCTGATGAAGCTGCAAAGAAGGCATCTAGATGCACCGTCCCAGTGTTAACAGCACCAATGGTCATTATTGAATCCATACCACAACCAGACGATATAATAAGGATGCAGGAAAGAGCAGGACATTATGAACAGACTATGTGGCACCAAAGAGGGGCCACCAAAGATGTGAAGGGATTATGGAGGTCTCATGAAGGAACCATAGTAGCACCCATTGTGTTGCACAACTTACTGATAACTGATGCGCATGGTTTTGACCATTGCGCAAGGGGGGAGATAGTAAGGAAAATTAAAAAACAAGGATACTGGTCCATACCTACAGGCAACAATAGATGAGGCATTAGCAAGATGTAAGGTGTGTGCACAAAACAATGTAAGGAAAGGAATAACAACACCTATAGGGTACATACCAGTTCCTGAAGGACCATTTCGACATTTAGCCATGGACTATGTAGATATGATAAAAAAGGTGAATGGCAAAAGGTACATGCTAGTGATAATAGATAGATTCAGTAGATGGGTAGAAGCGGTACCATCAGCAGATCTAGGATCAGGAGCAGTAATCAAATTTCTAACCAGAGAAGTAATACCCAGATTTGGAATACCAACAGAAATCAGCTCAGACAATGGATCAGCATTTATTTAAAAAACAGTGAAGCAAGTATTACAGCAGCTAACGATTAAGCCAGGGGTGTCAAACTCATTTTAGCTCAGGGGCCACATGGAGGAAAATCTATTCCCAAGTGGGCCGGACCGGAAAAATTATTTACATTTACTTTTTATTCTTTTAGCAGATGCTTTTATCCAGATCGAATTACAGTTAGCGAATACATATAAATATTTTTTTTATACTGGCCCCCCGTGGGAATCGAACCCACAACCCTGGCGTTGCAAACGCCATGCTCTATCAACTGAGCTACATCCCTGCCGGCCATTCCCTCCCCTACCCTGGACGACGCTGGGCCAATTGTGCGCCGCCCATGAGTCTCCTGGTCGCGGCCGGCTGCGACAGAGCCTGAATCATGGTATATATAACTTAAAAACAACAACTTCAGATTGTTTTCTTTGTTTTAATACGATCAACATACAACAAAGCTGGAGCCTGAGGACAGTGTGTCCAAAATAGTACAAGCACAACATCACTATTAATCATAAAACACATCAAGTTTATTTGAAAATTCTAAAGAAAAAGACACACAATGCCTCAGTGATTAACAGAACTGTTTCACAGATCACAGAACTATATCAGGGTGTCATTTCTCAGGCAGAAATGTAGATAAAAATAATGAAATCCTGTTCCCCAAACAAGTGCAAGAACCACAGAGTCAAGAATAGGTTAAATATACAAATAAAATAAAATCAATTAAAAACAATAGCACATCAACATAAAAACATATAAACATAAATCTGAAAGCGTTGCTCAAACTCCCGTAACAGTCCCGTTATTTTATCTTTGAACCGCTTCATGTCTGCCACATGTTGGGTCGCGCACACATTTTTCAGACAGGGGAAGTGAGCTGCATCACCACCGGCGAGTTGCGTCTCCCACAATGCCAGCTTCAACTTGAAAGAACGTATGCTGTCATAATACTGCGTGACAACTTTGTTGCACCCTTGCAGCTGTTTGTTCAAGTTATTCAGGTGCTCTGTAACATCCACCATAAATGCAAGGTCCTGCATCCATTCTGCGGAATGAAATTCTAACACTGGTTTGCCCTTTTCTTCCATGAACTGTTCAATTTCTTCTCGTAAATCAAAGAAACGCCTCAGCACCTCGGCTTAACCATCTTACCTCAGTGTGGTATGGCAGGCCATAGATGTGGTCTTTCTCTCTGAGAAGGCTGTCAAACTGACGGTGATTCAGGCTTCTGGATCGGATAAAATTAACAGTTTGGATGACCACCTTCATGACGTTATCCATCTTTAATGACTTGCAACACAAAGCCTCCTGGTGCAAAATACAGTGAAAAGTCCAAAAATCACGTCCTCCATTTGCAGATTGCACTTTCTCTCTGAACTTTGTCACAACGCCTGCTTTTTTCCCGATCATTGAGGGCGCACCATCTGTAGCCAGGCTGACAGCGCGGGACCAGTCCACTCCGACCCTGTCCAGCGCGCCGACGAGTGCGGTAAAAATATCAGCTGCTGTCGTTGTATCTGTCATCGGCACCAACTCCACGAACTCCTCGGTGACGGTCAATGTGTCATCAACTCCGCGGATGAAAATGGCCAGTTGTGCAACATCTGTAATGTCCGTGCTTTCATCAATTGCAACCGAAAACGCAATAAATGACTTTACTTTTTGCTTCAACTGGCTGTCCAAATCCACTGAAAGATCGGAAATCCTGTCTGCAACTGTGTTTCTTGTCAGGCTGATATTTGCAAAAGCCTGCCGCTTTTCAGGGCACACAATCTCCGCTGCCTTCATCATGCATGTTTTTACAAATTCACCCTCACTAAATGGTTTTGAAGCCACTGCGATTTCATTAGCAATGAGGTAGCTAGCTTTCACTGCAGCGTCACTGATGTCTCGGCTGTGAGTAAACACAGACTGCTGTTTCTTCAGACCCGCCAACAGTTCATTCACCTTCTCTCATCTCCGCTGTCCTTGAAAGTTGTCATATTTGTCGGCATGAAGACTCACATAGTGGCGACGAAGGTTATATTCTTTCAGCACTGCAACATGCTCTGAACACACCAAACATACAGCTTTCCCATTCAATTCCGTGAATAAATAGGATTACCATTTTTCTTGGAACACTCTGCGTCCACTTTTCTCTTTTTTGACAGAGACATATTGGGGCAATGAGGGTGCCAAAACACATAATGTTAAAAGTAGAAGCCGTAATAAATATTGCGGGCAAAACAAAGTAGCTCATTGGCTGCACGTGCTTGACCTACTTGCTCTGCCCTGGTATAGACCACTGCGCCACTCAGGGACTCCTGAGTGGCGCAGTGGTCTAAGGCACTGCATCGCAGTGCTAACTGTGCCACTAGAGATCCTGGTTCGAATCCAGGCTCTGTCGCAGCCGGCCGCGACCGGGAGACTCATGGGCGGCGCGCAATTGGCCCAGCGTCGACCAGGGTAGGGGAGGGAATGGCCGGCAGGGATGTAGCTCAGTTGATAGAGCATGGGGGGCCAGTATAAAAAAATATGTATTCACTAACTGTAAGTCGCTCTGGATAAGAGCGTCTGCTAAATGACTAAAATGTAAAAATGTAATAAACAGTTTGCTTGCTTAACACAATTGCTATTGTGCCATCCAATGGACGCAATTGGAACAGCAGTTTATTTTATTGAAAAATTGCAGCGCATTTTTAGACTTTACAAAAAAAAAAAAAAAAGTTTTGGGGGGGTTTTATTTGTATTTTTTATTATTCTTTTTTCGAAATCATCTCGCGGGCCGGATTAAACCCGTTTGCGGGCCTGATCCGGCCCGCGGGCCGGACCTTTGACACCCCTGGATTAAGCAAAGACTAGGGTGTGTGTATCACCGCAATCTAAGGGGATTGTTGAGAGGATTAATGGGACCCTCAAGGCTAAACTGAATACAATCTGTGCCGGTGCAAAGCTCAATTGGGTGGATGCACTACCACTAGCTTTGATGAGTTATCGCATGCAAACTAACAGAAATACGCATCTAACCCCGCATGAAATGCTTACGGGTCGACCCATGCCAGTGCCAGTTCTAAGAGGGCCCTACCATTGGAACAATTAGAGATGGAGTTTAAAGCATATGTAAGACAACTAACTGCTATACATAAAGTGATCTATCTCCAGGAAAAAGGGCGAGAACCGGAACCTGGACCAGAGGAGCCAGGGCCGGTGATTCCAGAAGATCGAGTCTACATCCGAGTGTTTCGCAGAAAGTGGAACGAGCCCAGGAGAGAAAGACCATACAAGGTGACCCGAGCGACGCCCACGGCGATACAGGTGGAAGGAAGCACAACGTGGTACCATCTGAACCACTGTACCAGGGTCCCGAGGAGAACCGGCCTGCTGTCAGTGAGCCATGAGGAAGCGGAGGTTGCCGAGGCACCAGATGGAGTCCAAGAAGAAGAAGCAAGCACGAGTCCAAGTGCCAACGTCGAAGAACAGCAGGCACTCCCTCCTGAAAATCCGGAGAGTCGGGAGGTGGGGTCTGATGGTGTGGGGAATACTACTAATAGGATACCTGCTATGGCAGATGCCCCAAACACAAGCAGCGACCCAGGGAATGGAGAGACAACAGGAGAAGGAGGAGAAAGTGACCTTTCTACCATTGTGGGGGTTGACGTCTCCACCGGTGAAGGAAGAGACTCCTCAGTCGTTGACTTCTCTGCCCTCACATGGTCTCCAACAACTTAAGAACTGTGGAATTGCTTTAACGGTAATAGCAGTTAATCAAGGAGAGATGGTGGCGAGTCTGCCTACAACTATACAATATTCTAGAGATAGCCTTACTGAACCTGGAAGAATTGTTGTTGTGAATAAAGAACAAGTATCATACATAGGATGGCCTAGATTGAGGAAATGTCAGATTGAAGGATATGCAATATTTAAAATAAAATGCCTAACAAATCATTGTGTAGAAGTGTTATGTGAATTATTTAACAAACTATTTTTGTGTCTCTGTGCGTCTCCCAAACGGTTGTAAGTCTTTTGGGATTTAAGTAACGGCCAGAGTCCCGGTCTGCATTGTCAAAGATATTTATTCATTGAGAATTCTGCCATCACAATTTCAGAGTCCATCTTTTATACTCATACGTCATGCAAAAAGAAATCCCTTCCCTCTGTAGGCGGGCTGTAGTTTTCCACTCTAAAACTGCTCTACTGACCTTCAGTTCACACACATATACACACATGCATACACACACACACACATACCCTACTCCCTGCTTTACTCAGTTATTGCCGTTCTCACAATATTCTGCACCATGTTTTCATAACAGTTTCTCCCCTCCCTAAATTGGGAGGCCTCTTTATCTTAGTTTCTCAGTTGTCTTTGTTGTCTGGCCTAACTCTTACTCACATTGCTAAATAGTGGCTCAATGCCATAGCTTTTACTGGTCCTACACTCACACATTTCTAACACATTATACACAGTTTCAGGGTGTAATAATGAGTCATTAATAATTAATATATCAAGAAGTTGAGCCAAAAGTAAATAGATATAAAACAAGCTAAACATTTCATGATTCCATCAGTGCTTAAGAAATTGGCCCCTAAAGTTAGATTGAAGAATAGAATAGAAAAGCATGTACCATTGGGGATAGCTCAAACTAGTATTTCTATTCCAGCCCAAGAAGAAAGGACAGTTGAAGAAACTCAAAGATCCTTTTCAATACGAAGGGTAAAACCTTTGCCAGAAACAGCACTTTGTGGGTGGACTAATCATCAAACAATGGGAGAGGCGATCTGGGATGAATATGGATGTCTAATATAAATTAACAAAGGACACATTACTTGGGAAATTACCTTAGAGGAATTGATACAAGAAAATGATGCAAAATATGTTTTGGAATTAGTTAGCACAAAGTGGCCAGAAGGAAATAATATAACAACAATCAAAATTATTTTTGTTCCCACACGTCAAACTAGACAGGAAGGAGAAATAGAGACAGTCAATGTAACTATGGCAATCACTCAAGGACCGTCCATTGTTGTAACAACTAAAGCAATGAAGGAAGACTCAGAAACAACAGAATCAACTGGGTTCTTTCAAAATGTATGGGAATCGTTTACTAATTGGGGAAACCAGGAAAATAAACAATCTAGCTCAGCACCAGCAGTAATACCGGAAATAATGAAAGCACCAACATAACTAAGTAGACTATTGGAGGGAGCATTACAAAATGATTGGTACAGATTGGCACAGTATTCAGCTAAAGTAATTAATAAGAAAACGGATTGTCTAGTATGCTCCCCCTCCCCATTAAAGGAACTGATGGTAATACCAAGTCCACATAGCCACAGGGAATGTGCTGACTTTAAACGAAACTTCTGTCATCTCAAAAGATCAGAGAGACCCTATTGCCCTGCAGAATGCTTATCCTTCTTAGGAAGTCCTGACCATCACAAATACTATAATCAAACAGGATGGGGGGAGTGGTGTAAACAATTAGATGTGAGAATAGAACCCAGAAAAATGGAAGCACCGGAAAAATATTGTATAGATTATAATCAAGATTATGAATGCTACAACAAAACGGATGGGGAGCATGATTTGGGAGAATTTAGGGGAAAGTGTGAGACCACATGGCACCTAAATAATGATATGTATTGGAATGCAGATACTCTGCGCAGAGCAGTTTATCAAGCGGCGCGATCGAGCACTGGAGTGATAGCTACTAGTGGAGGGCCTGGTGACCCTGGGGAATGTGAGAAGAAAACACTGGCAATGCCACTGATCTCTCCTTATGAGGATCAATCGGTGGCAGTGGAAGATTTATTTTGGATTTGTGGAGGACAAAGAATTAGAGCCACTTTGCCTAATGGATGGAAGGGAATATGTGCTAGGGTACAAATGCTTCAGGAAGTGGTTATATCAGAATGGGAGGTGGAAAAAACAACAAATCAGGACACCAAGGACAATAATAAAAGGGTAAAATGAGCGTATGAACATGACCCCAATGTATACTTAGATGCAATAGGTCAACCCAGAGGAATTCCAAATGAATATAAGGCAAGAGATTAAATTAAAGCAGGATTTCAATCAATATTTGTCTGGATATCAAGTAACAAAAACCTTGAATGGATCAATTATATTTACTATAATCAACAAACGTTTATTAATTACACAGACTCTGCGTTAACAGCTCTGGGAGAGCAAGTACAGGCTACAAGTAGAATGACATGGCAAAATAGGCAGGCTTTAAACTGGCTGTTGGTAGAAAAAGGTGGAGTTTGTGTTATGTTTGGGGATGAATGTTGTACCTTCATTCCCAATAATAATACTGCTCCGGATGGTTCATTCACTGAAGCAATGACTAAGCTCAAAGGACTACGAAAAGAAGTTAAGGACAATGCTGGGCATGACGCTCACACTTGGGATTGGATGGACTTAACTTTGGGGAACAATGTTTACAAAAATGGCAATCATGATAGGCATAGCACTTGTAGTAATGGGAATGGTCTTTTGTTGTGTACTGCCTTTGTTGAAATCACTTTTGATCCAAACCAAAGTAAAGCAAATGACTGTACAGACAATTGTTAATAAGTCAACCAAAGAAATACACCCTGTTCAGGGAGCTCCAGGACAGTATGTTAATGAATATGGAAAGCCCTGTAGTATTAAAGGAGGACCAATGGACTGCCCATTTGGAAATCCTGAATGTGGTCCTCTGTAGCTCAATTGGTAGAGCATGGCGCTTGTAACGTCAGGGTAGTGAGTTCGATCCCCGGGACCACCCATACGTAAAAATGTATGCACACATGACTGTAAGTCGCTTTGGATAAAAGCGTCTGCTAAATGGCATATTATATTATTATTATTATATTATTATTATATTATTATGTCTGTATCGTGTTGTCCCTGGGGGTGGATGGGCCTGTCATGGTTACAAAGCTCAACAGCAACAATTGGAGGTTAGCGTAGAGGGAAACCTTCCGGATTTGTACCCAGTACCCGACTGGGCTCCTTGTCCTCATCGGGATGGGTCAGACAATGAGGAAGATACATTGGTATAATATTTTTGACATGCGTTTTTCTGGAATTTTTTGTTGTTTTTCTGTCTCTCACTGTTCAAATAAACCTACCATTAAAATTATAGACTGATCATTTCTTTGTCAGTGGGCAAACTTACAAAATCAGCAGGGGATCAAATACTTTTTTCCCTCACTGTATCACCACCTGGTACGGCAACTGCACTGCCCGCAACCGCAGGGCACTCCAGAGGGTGGTACGGTCTGCCAAACGCATCACTTGGGGCACACTGCCTTCCCTCTAGGGCACCTACAGCACCCGACGTCACAGGAAGGCCAAAAAGATCATCAAGGACATCAACCACCCGAGCCACGGCCTGTTCACCCTGCTATCATCCAGAAGGCGAGGTCAGTACAGGTGCATCAAAGCTGAGACTGAAAAACAGCTTCTATCTCAAGGCCATTAAACTGTTAAATAGCCATCAATAGCCGCAACCCTGCACATTAGAGGATGCTGTCCTATATACAGTGGGGGAAAAAAGTATTTAGTCAGCCACCAATTGTGCATGTTCTCCCACTTAAAAAGATGAGAGGCCTGTAATTTTCATCATAGGTACACGTCAACTATGACGGACAAATTGAGGAAGAAAATCACATTGTAGGATTTTTTATGAATTTATTTGCTAATTATGGTGGAAAACAAGTATTTGGTCACCTACAAACAAGCAAGATTTCTGGCTCTCACAGACCTGTAACTTCTTCTTTAAGAGGCTCCTCTGTCCTCCACTCGTTACCTGTATTAATGGCACCTGTTTGAACTTGTTATCAGTATAAAAGACACCTGTCCACAACCTCAAACAGTCACACTCCAAACTCCACTATGGCCAAGACCAAAGAGCTGTCAAAGGACACCAGAAACAAAATTGTAGACCTGCACCAGGCTGGGAAGACTGAATCTGCAATAGGTAAGCAGCTTGGTTTGAAGAAATCAACTGTGGGAGCAATTATTAGGAAATGGAAGACATACAAGACCACTGATAATCTCCATTGATCTGGGGCTCCACGCAAGATCTCACACCGTGGGGTCAAAATGATCACAAGAACGGTGAGCAAAAATCCCAGAACCACACGGGGGGACTTAGTGAATGACCTGCAGAGAGCTGGGACCAAAGTAACAAAGCCTACCATCAGTAACACACTACGCCGCCAGGGACTCAAATCCTGCAGTGCCAGACGTGTCCCCCTGCTTAAGCCAGTACATGTCCAGGCCCGTCTGAAGTTTGCTAGAGTGCATTTGGATGATCCAGAAGAGGATTGGGAGAATGTCATATGGTGAGATGAAACCAAAATAGAACTTTTTGGTAAAAACTCAACTTGTCGTGTTTGGAGGACAAAGAATGCTGAGTTGCATCCAAAGAACACCATACCTACTGTGAAGCATGGGGGTGGAAACATCATGCTTTGGGGCTGTTTTTCTGCAAAGGGACCAGGACGACTGATCCGTGTAAAGGAAAGAATGAATGGGGCCATGTATCGTGAGATTTTGAGTGAAAACCTCCTTCCATCAGCAAAGGAATTGAAGATGAAACGTGGCTGGGTCTTTCAGCATGACAATGATCCCAAACACACCGCCCGGGCAACGAAGGAGTGGCTTCGTAAGAAGCATTTCAAGTTCCTGGAGTGGCCTAGCCAGTCTCCAGATCTCAACCCCATAGAAAATCTTTGGAGGGAGTTGAAAGTCCGTGTTGCCCAGCGACAGCCCCAAAACATCACTGCTCTAGAGGAGATCTGCATGGAGGAATGGGCCAAAATACCAGCAACAGTGTGTGAAAACCTTGTGAAGACTTACAGAAAACGTTTGACCTGTGTCATTTCCAACAAAGTGTATATAACAAAGTATTGAGAAACTTTTGTTATTGACCAAATACTTATTTTCCACCATAATTTGCAAATAAATTCATTAAAAATCCTAGAATGTGATTTTCTGGATTTTTTTTTCTCATTTTGTCTGTCATAGTTGACGTGTACCTATGATGAAAATTAATATTTTTAAGTGGGAGAACTTGCACAATTGGTGGCTGACTAAAAACGTTTTTTCACCACTGTATATGTAGGCAAAATATATAGTCGGGATTCGACTACAGTTAAGGTAAATGTTAGAATTTTGAGTGAAGCATCCATCCCTTCCATCCATCCCCAGCTTCTGTTTAGCTTGTGCAGTGGTGCCCCTTATAATGAAAAAAATAACTGGGGCCAGCTATGACCATGTGAGGGTGTCTGAGTTGCTGTCGTCATTGTGGTTCTCCCAATTGTGAAAACTGAGCTCAGATCAGCTCTTTGCCAGGGTCTTAGTCTAAAGCTCTATGTACAGTGGTTCTCCTGGTTTTGTCTCAGGTCCTGTTTGCGCTGGAAGCCATAGAGGCAGTGGTAGGGCTGGTTACTACTGTGCTGACGGCTGTGGGTGATGAGGTTGGAGCTCTGGCTGAAGGCTTTGCCACACACCTGGCACACATGGGGCTTCTCACCTGGGATAGGAAAGCAGAGGGGACATACTGTATTAAAGGGGAAGTTCACTCTTTTATAACTTCATCTTAGATGGTTCCTCACCCTGAAGGTAGTCTAGTGGCCAGGAAAAACTATAATGCTTGGTTCAGGTTTCTTTAATTAAACAGCCACTACAAACTTCAGCTAACTTATTCCAAATCAATGAGTGATAGGGGCATGCGGTGGCTGTTTTATTTATTTTAAAGGCCAAATCACTTCCCACGTCGCCGTACTCTGGCATGTAGTCACTACCATTTTTTAACAGGCACCACATGCCCCTACCACTCACATGTTTTTTTTTTTTTATATTTAAAATAGTTAATATGTTTCGAACGGGACTGACAAAGACAAGATCCCTATTTCCATAGAATACATATCGACTTACCTGTGTGAATGAAGGTGTGTTTTTTCATATCAGATTTCTGGTGAAATCCTTTGCCACAGTATTGACAGGGGTAGGGCCGTGTGTCAGAGTGGATTAGCAGGTGAGTGGACAGGGTGGAGGCGCGCTTGAACACTTTCCCACACACCTTACAGCCATACGTACGCTCCTGAAACACATGGCCATATATTTATTTATTTATTTTTATTACGTTTTAATTAATCTTTATTTATTTTTTTACACCAAACAAAAACGAATATAGGTCATATAGTATAGGCCATATAATCATGTATAAGGTTTATTGTGGTGTGTTTTCCTGTATATAGTTTATAACTGGCATAAAAACCTTAAAACCCCCTAAAGTCGATGTCCGCGGAAATCTAATTAGCATTAAAAAAATGTCTGTTTTAAGATAGAGATCGTTTTTTTTTTGCATTGGATACGTCTCAATCAACCGCATCCGCCTGTCGCAATTCCGCATCTGAGGTGAAAGGTGATAGAGCTAGAGCGGTGTTTGTCAGACCATGAGAACTATTTTGACCCCTCTATGGAAAGATGAGACTCTCACGAACATGTACATGTTTTGCTCTAGGATGCCCACAGGCCTCACAAGACTTGTCTGAAGGTCCCCTGATACCAGTTGAAAAAATGTATGGAAGTATATATGGAGACTATTTAATGCCCAAAATATGGGGTTAAATACATGTAAAAAAAACATTCCTGATCTTTCTTATATATCTCACATATAGGAGAGACACTTCAGAACAAACTTCCTTTTGATATTTTTTTGGGGACTATATGTTGTTCCATGTAGTGAATCTGTTATTCAATGCGTTTGTATGGGCTAATAGCAGTAAGGCTATATATATACAGTGGGGAAAAAAAGTATTTAGTCAGCCACCAATTGTGCAAGTTCTCCCACTTAAAAAGATGAGAGAGGCCTTTAATTTTCATCATAGGTACACGTCAACTATGACAGACAAAATGAGAAAAAAAATCCAGAAAATCACATTGTAGGATTTTTAATGAATTTATTTGCAAATTATGGTGGAAAATAAGTATTTGGTCACCTACAAACAAGCAAGATTTCTGGCTCTCACAGACCTGTAACTTCTTCTTTAAGAGGCTCCTCTGTCCTCCACTCGTTACCTGTATTAATGGCACCTGTTTGAACTTGTTATCAGTATAAAAGACACCTGTCCACAACCTCAAACAGTCACACTCCAAACTCCACTATGGCCAAGACCAAAGAGCTGTCAAAGGACACCAGAAACAAAATTGTAGACCTGCACCAGGCTGGGAAGACTGAATCTGCAATAGGTAAGCAGCTTGGTTTGAAGAAATCAACTGTGGGAGCAATTATTAGGAAATGGAAGACATACAAGACCACTGATAATCTCCCTCGATCTGGGGCTCCACGCAAGATCTCACCCCGTGGGGTCAAAATGATCACAAGAACGGTGAGCAAAAATCCCAGAACCACACGGGGGGACCTAGTGAATGACCTGCAGAGAGCTGGGACCAAAGTAACAGAGCCTACCATCAGTAACACACTACGCCGCCAGGGACTCAAATCCTGCAGTGCCAGACGTGTCCCCCTGCTTAAGCCAGTACATGTCCAGGCCCTTCTGAAGTTTGCTAGAGTGCATTTGGATGATCCAGAAGAGGATTGGGAGAATGTCATATGGTCAGATGAAACCAAAATAGAACTTTTTGGTAAAAACTCAACTCGCCGTGTTTGGAGGACAAAGAATGCTGAGTTGCATCCAAAGAACACCATACCTACTGTGAAGTATGGGGGTGTAAACATCATGCTTTGGGGCTGTTTTTCTGCAAAGGGACCAGGACGACTGATCCGTGTAAAGGAAAGAATGAATGGGGCCATGTATCGTGAGATTTTGAGTGAAAACCTCCTTCCATCAGCAAGGGCATTGAAGATGAAACGTGGCTGGGTCTTTCAGCATGACAATGATCCCAAACACACCGCCCGGGCAACGAAGGAGTTGCTTCGTAAGAAGCATTTCAAGGTCCCGGAGTGGCCTAGCCAGTCTCCAGATCTCAACCCCATAGAAAATCTTTGGAGGGAGTTGAAAGTCTGTGTTGCCCAGCGACAGCCCCAAAACATCACTGCTCTAGAGGAGATCTGCATGGAGGAATGGGCCAAAATACCAGCAACAGTGTGTGAAAACCTTGTGAAGACTTACAGAAAACGTTTGACCTGTGTCATTGCCAACAAAGGGTATATAACAAAGTATTGAGAAACTTTTGTTATTGACCAAATACTTATTTTCCACCATAATTTGCAAATAAATTCATTAAAAATCCTACAATGTGATTTTCTGGATTTTTTTTTCTTATTTTGTCTGTCATAGTTGACGTGTACCTATGATGAAAATTACAGGCCTCTCTTATCTTTTTAAGTGGGAGAACTTGCACAATTGGTGGCTGACTAAATACTTTTTTCCCCCACTGTATATATACAAAAAAATTATACTTCAACGAGTCTCAAAATTCAAAATTAAATAGCTAAATGATCCTTGGTATGACCTTAAAACAATTCCATATATCTTAGTAGAACCCATATCATGATGTCACAGTGATGATGGTCTATTTATAATAGACCAATGACTGTTCATCTGGGTAAGGGGGTGGGCGCTAGACCATCCTATCAGCCAATCAGGGCTGTGTATGTAAATATATTTACATTTGTTTCCTAACGTGCCCACACGATTAGACAGAATTTCAAGGGCCAAAGGAGGCTCAGGAAAATAAATGATAAATACATTTTAGTTATTTTAATTAAATAAACAGTGATTTATTAGAATACAGTGATTTAAAAATAAAAGTACAAAGTCTGCATGGGGGCTTTAATAAACATTCTGCTGATAATACACAATATACTAACATTTCTTTCATGGTATCTACTTTGAACCAGAGTTGGGGTCAAACCTGCTTTAAAACACTTTATTATACAAGTAATGGGGCAGGCAACAGACCTTTATTGACATCATTAGGTGTGTTATTCCTACCTTGACCCTGTAGCTCAAACCCAGGTCTGACCTATAGCCATATGGCTGACTGTCAGTCTTGGTGTGTGCTGATGATGACTGCTTGTGTCTGCCACCATGGAACTTGTGGACATGGGACTCCAGACTGGAGAAAGAAAAGAAACTCTGAAAAGAAAACAAACACTTTAATGTCATTTGCAGAAGAGGAGTGCAGTAAATATAATTGACCTCTTTTTTGATCTAATCCTCACACTGGTCTTCCAGTCAGAAACAGAATAGAGAATCAAAGCACATCAGACTTCAGTTGCTGCACTTTGACCTTTGGTTAATAAAAAGGCTGTGTGTAGGTCTATCCAACCCCCTCATTGGTATTCCAATGAGCCAGAATTGTTCACTATCCATGATGGAAGCAAACATAGCTTTCTCTTACCACTAATATCAAACCTTTTTCATGGAGAGTAGGATTGACGTTTAATAATTCACCTTTATTTACAGTACCAGTCAAAAGTTTGGACACCTACTCATTCAAGGGTTTTTCTTTATTTGTACTATTTTCTACATTGTAGCATAATAGTGAAGACCTCAACTATGAAATAACACACATGGAATCATGTAGTTACCAAAAAAGTGTTAAACAAATCAAATGTATATTTTATATTTGAGATTCTTCAAATAGCCACCCTTTGCCTTGACAGCTTTACACACTCTTGGCATTCTCTTAACCAGCTTCACCTGGAATGCTTTTCCAACAGTCTTGAAGGAGTTCCCACATTTGCTTAGCACTTGTTGGCTGCTTTTCCTTCACTCTGCCGTCCGACTCATCCCAAACCATCTCAATTGGGTTGAGATCGGGGGATTGTGGATGCCAGGTCATCTGATGCAGCACTCAATCACTCTCCTTCTTGGTAAAATAGCCCTTACACAGCCTGGAGGTGTGTTGGGTCATTGTCCTGTTGAAAAACAAATGATAGTCCCACTAAGCCCAAACCAGATGGGATGGCGTAGTGCTGTGGTAGCCATGCTAGTTAAGTGTGCCTTGAATTCTAAATAAATCACAGTGTCACCAGCAAAGCACCCCCACACCATAACACCACCTCCTCCATGCTTTACAGTGGGAACTACACATGCGGAGATCATCCGTTCACCCACACTGCGTCTCACAAAGACACGCGGTTGGAACCAAAAGTCTCCAATTTGGACTCCAGACCAAAGGACAAATTTCCACCGGCCTAATGCCCATTGCTCGTGTTTCTTGGCCCAAGCAGGTCTCTTCTTATTATTGGTGTCCTTTAGTAGTGGTTTCTTTGCAGCAATTTGACCATGAAGGCCTGATTCACACAGTCCCCTCTGAACAGTTGATGTTTATGTCTGTGACTTGTAGCTCAATTGGTAGAGCATGGCGATTGTAACGGAAGAGTAGTGGGTTCGATCCCCGGGACCACCCATATGTAAAAATGTATGCACGCATGACTGTAAGTCGCTTTGGATAAAAACGTCTGCTAAATGGCATATTGAAATCTGAAGCATTTATTTGGCCTGCAATTTCTGAGGCTGGTAACTCTGAACCTATCCTCTGCAGCAGAGGTAACTCTGTGTCTTCCTTTCCTGTGGCGGTCCTTATGAGAGCCAGTTTCATCATAGCACTTGATGGTTTTTGTGACTGCACTTGAAGAAACGTTCAAAGTTCTTGAAATGTTCCATATTGACTGACCTTCATGTCTTAAAGTAATGATGGACTGTCATTTCTCTTTGCTTATTTGAATGAAATTCGACAAATTAACTTTTACGGCGGCACACCTGTTAATTGAAATGCATTCCAGGGGACTACCTCATGAAGCTGGTTGAGAGAATGCCAAGAGTGTGCAAAGCTGTCATCAAGGCAAAGGGTGGCTATTTGAAGAATCTCAAATATAAAATATATTTTGATATGTTTAACACCTTTTTGGTTACTACATGATTCCATGTGTTATTTCATAGTTTTGATGTCTTCACTATATTATTCTACAATGTAAAAATAAAGAAAAACCCTTGAATTAGTAGGTGTGTCCAAACTTTTGACTGGTAGTGTATACAGGTAAATCAATTAAGAACAGAGTATTATTGGCAATGACCACTTGTCAGAGGAATAGAATAACATAACTGACTTGGGATCATCCACTAACCTTTCCACACCATGGACATTCAGTCCCAGTGGTCCTGTGGTCACTGATCTGGGGACAGTCTCTGTATCGGGTCTCCCCCAGGAGGGGAGAGCCCACCTCCTCAGCAGGGCTGCCAGGGTTGAACGGGGAGGTAGAGTGGTGGTGCAGTGCAGCTCTACCATCTTAGGATGGAGAATAGCAGGTGGTTCATAAGTTACATTAATTAGCCCCTTCTAACAAGCAAACACTGATCTCTAGTAGGTCTGAAAAATATCGCAGTTTCAGTCTTAGCTTAAATGAACATTGTACAATAATGAATGATTATGAGAACAATAATACACACAACTGGCAGATGTACATGAGCTTGTGTTAGGTGAGCCTCAGTGTTCAACACCTACCTGAAGACATGGGACTAGTGGGGTGAAGGTAACGGTGACTATGTGAGGCAGGGTGGAGGGCTGGAGGTGGAGAGGGCTGTGGTGAGTAGGTCTCATTGTGTGTCACTAGAGACACTGCACTCTTAGGTGACGGCTGTCCCTGAAGAAGGGTACCCCACTGCCTCTTATCTGTTTCTGGGGGACCCACTGGCACCAGAGTCGTGCCCAAGCATGGGCTACCTGCTTTGGGGCGCAGAAGGTGAGAGCCCCCCCTCCTCACCAGGAAAGAACGAGGCATGGTGGGGATGCGAGAAGCAACAGGGGCACAGGGGGTTTTGTAGACTCAATCTAATGGAAGGAAAGTATAAGACCCTGCAATATGGAGTACATGAAAATTGACATAGTCCAGGTGTTATTCATATCAACCAACATACAGCAGGTGGCAGCAGTACTTTGACTTACACTGTCAAATTACTACACTGCCGTGTTCATAAAGCTTCTCAGAGTATGAGTGCTGATCTCGGATTAGTTTTACCTTTTCAGATCATTATGAATATGATAACAGGGACAGGGGGGACCTGATCCTAGATCAGCACACCTACTCTGAAATGCTTTATGAATACAGGCCCTGGTCACACAACCACTCCGAAAGGAACAGTGCTGTGGGTTTTGCTGACACAAAAATTATGAAGACAACATTTTTAAACCATAAAAACTAGCTCCATAATGAAATCCATTCAAATATGTTGAAAGGAAGTACCAAGTATTTTCCAGCTGAGTTTTCCCTATCTATTCATAAAGGAGGTAATTTATTTTGCATTAAATGTCCGTTATGTCTCTTCAGGGATGTAGCTCAGTTGGTAGAGCATGGCGTTTGCAACGCCAAGGTTGTGGGTTCGATTCCCACGGGGGGCCAGTATGAAAAAATAAAAAATAATGTATGCACTAACTGTAAGTCGCTCTGGATAAGAGCGTCTGCTAAATGACTAAAATGTAAATGTAAAATGTCCAATTTACAGAGACGTCTCTAGACAGATTGCCTTAGCCAAGTCATTGCACATACTCATTTATCTTAAGCTTGGTTGGATTGCTGCATAAATTGTGGCAACATATACTAGCACACAGTCTTTTGAAACCATTCCACAGCAGCTACAACTTCTCTTTTCATCCTAGTCAAATGGGATGGGAAGGTCAAGAGATTGACTGACTAGAATTGACCCAAATTCAAATAAACACAGCAGACCGTTGTGTATTGTCCCGACTCCAGACACACCCTGTGAGCTATCTCTCCTCTGACTGCACGGCCTTACAGGTGGCAAAGGGTAGATTATTGAATACATAATGAGAGAAAGGACTAGGGACAATAAGGCTCCCCAAAACAGCCAAACTTTATTTATTTTCATTTGCTGGATTCATACTGGTCTAAACTTCAGATATAAAATATTTCTAATTTTCTATATTCTATGTTACTAGGCAGAATAGTTCAATCTTTTGCCCAAGGGCCAATGGATCGCTATATAAAACCCGAAAATATTTATCCTGTGTAATTTTGCAGATACAGGGTGGCATTTGAAATAGCATAACTAAATAGGATGTAGATACACCGGTGGAGATGGATGATGATTAGATTGAACACATTGGCTGAATTAATTTGGTACAGTAAAAACTCACCTAATGAAAGAGGAATGACAAATCTCTGCCAACAGCTAGCCCTGTTGATGTCTTCAGTCAAGTAACCTGGTGAGATAACAAGAGCATTGATTTTAAAGATGGTGATACTGTACATGATAATTTGCTAAAAGCACAAAGCAAAAACAAGCTCCTAATCTTAATTGCAGGAAAGACTGCAAGAAGTAATTTATGCCATTATGGCTAGCAATGGAAAATGTGACAATCTCACTACAAAAAAGCTTTTTATACAATCTTACCAGATAACTCATTATTTAAAGGCATCCAAATGTCAACATTTCACGTCAAGAAATAGGCTGAACAAATATATTCAGGCTCAAATTCTTAATAAAATAAAATAAAAATATGATATGCCAAAATGTCAACTTTACTCCAGAATCTCCAACTAGTAAACTAATCATGTATCATTAAAGTTAAAATCTATCTACATGCTCAAATTTAAGCTCTAAGCTGTATTCAGCCACTGAGATGTAGTGTTCAGTTCAGTGAAGCCCAATGATACTGACTGGTAAGAACATGTCTCTCCACTCAGCAGCAGCCACCTCAACCACAGAGCTTCCTCAGAAAGACCAGACCGACTCCACTGCTGAGCAACAGGTCTTACTGTTGCCCTAAAAACACACGCATCGCTGCTTTGATACAGTATATAGGACCAAACAAGTCAAGATGTACTCGATCTCTTCACTTTCAAATGACCAAATGTCCTCTTTGACTTGAGGATGGTATACAAATCTATCAGTCTACTTCATTGTTATATCAAAACTATTCACATGATCACAAAACAGGAAGATGTGTAGAAGTGAGGCAAGAGAAAACCAAGTTACAAGAAATTGGATGAGGGAAGGATGGTGGGGTCACTTGAGTAATGTGCTGCAAAAAGTGTCAACACACATAGCTAAAGTGTTGAGACGGGGGGGGGGGGGGGGGGGGGGGATTTCAAAATGGATGTTAGAGCAGAGAGAGAGGAGAGGGAAAGCCCAAACCGTAATGAACTGGTAAACCAATGTTGTGATGAGCAGAACAGGGGAGAAAGATAAGAGAGAGGGACAGAGAGGATAACAGGATCAATGGAAGATTACAATGGATTTTACATCCAAATGAAGACAGGGGTGCACACAATCAACACTCGAGTCAGCACAACAACACCGTACCACCTCGACATGGCATCTGAGAATGTGTAGTGTCAATGTTTATTTCATATCAATCATCATCAAGAACAGAACACTGAAATGTTTTCACAATATTGTCATTAATATCATCTTTATTACTGTCATGAATATACTTGACAACACATTGGTAGAATTGCAAGAGAGAGTGAACAAGGTTGGAGGGCGTAAAGTGGATCCCGACCTGCTGTTACATACGAGAGAAGTCCTACACCAGGGTTGTGTTTATGAGGCACCAAACGGAAGAAAACTGACTGAAACCGGGAGGAACTTCATGGACTTGTCCAATAAGAAACACTAATTTTAATTTTCTGTTGCAGAATGTTTTAAAATATTTTACATTGCGTGCCCTAATGAATACAACCCAGGGTATGCATGAGGACACAGTCCATAAGGGGGAGTCTCCATGATTAGTTTTTTTCTTCTTTGAGACAGACAATGGCATGTACAGTACATTGTAAGCGTTCCAGTTTCATTCTAACATTGTTATATATATTTTTTAATCCTTCAGTCCTAGCTCAACAGTGGCCTTCACCTTTCTGAGATGTTTTTGGTGAACACCACCCTAAACCAGAGTGAAAATGCTGAACTGTCTATGAAAATTGCATTCGATATACATGTCATTTATATACTATGTATAAATCTACCTACATTATGGCACTATAGAAGATTTAAACATGGAACCCTACCCTTCGCAACACCCAAGGATCTTTGCCATGATCTTAGTTCAGATCATAGAATAGCCATACGAACGCTAATCATAAAACTACATGGATGACAAATACACATGAAGATGCCCTCGGAGTCAGTATCAAAAAGTATTTTAGTCACAGTTATAACAGTTATAGTTCGGACACTGGGGAACTCCACATCCGAGCACCATCTCTGAACAGCTGTATAGTGTTTGATGTGTTATGCAGGGTTGGAGGGGTCGATTCCGTTTAAACTCAGTCAACGCAGGAGACTAATTGTCATTCCAAGTCAATAATTGAAAAGTGGCATCTGTTTTGAATTGAAAAGGAACTGACCCCAACCCTGGTGTTATGCGAGTGTGGAGCGAGTGCACAATACTTTGTGAAAATTAGACACTGTCTGACCAAGACCAGTGGTGTAAAGTACTTAAGTAGTACTTTAAAGTATTTTTACTTATGTCGTTTTTTGGGGTATCTGTACTTTACTTTTTATATTTGACAACTTTTACTTCACTACATTCCTAAAGAAAATGTACTCACTAAATACAAATGCTTTGTTTGTAAATTGTCTAAGTGTTGGAGTGTGCCCCTGGCTAACCATTAAAAAAAGCAAGAAAATGTCTGGTTTGCTTAATGTAGGGAATTTGAAATTATTTATACTTTTACTTTTGATACTTAAGTATATTTTAGCAATTACATTTACTTTTTTGATACTTAAGTATATTTAAAACCAAATACTTTTAGACTTTTACTCAAGTAGTATTTTACTGGGCGACTCACTTTTACTTGAGTAATTTTCTATTAAGGCATCTTTACTTTTAGTCAAGTATGACTCAAGTACTTTTTCCACCACTGACCAAGACTACTATACTCTACCGCAGGTTGACTCAACACATGGAATTCAAACTCCCTCCCATTGCTAAAGTAATGCACTGACTGACTGGTCCAGGATGTTACAACAGACAACTGTGATTTCAGCTGCTACACTGGTTTTTAACCTCAAAGGTGGTTATTTGTAATACTTGAGTGAGCGAAAGATAGGCTACATGGCGGTGGAACCCCATTGGAGGAGCTCCCTTATTTCTTCGGCAGTTGGTGACAGGTTCCCCCTTCATCCATCATCACTGTGCGACAAAAGCCAGGTACACAACAAATCTGAGTACATGGCATAATTTGAACATAAGAAAACAAAGCATGATACAAAGTTGGGATGCATAGGCTTGGTGGCATAGCATCATACAGTACCTCAATACTACCAAGAACCTTTACAGGTGCTCACCAATACTGACATGAGACAGGGCCTTAGCTTGCTACACTAAGCACTCCAAGCATCCACTCCAATATTCCCAGGACAGCACTCACTGCTTTAAGTCAAGAGGAGATCTTTAATCTTAGAATCTATATCTAGAATCTTTAAATATAGATTCTGACTGTTAGAATCTATATCTAGAATCTGTTTAGAATCTGTCTTAGAATCTATATAACACCCTTTTGAATATATTACTACACACATCCTCTACAGTCTGCATCAGCAAATCAACTCAACCGTTCTTGTGATATATTTATATAAATACTTTCGTTTTCAGGTTGTCATACTGAATTATTCAATAATATTCCATACGTTTTGCTTCCACTGTTGTAAGAATATATAAATGTGATATGTGAAGTGTCTGCCACAGAAGTAAGATAATGCTCCTTCCATCTATATTAAAGAAGTTTGTATGGAACCCTTTTCCCCCTTGACGTTGGGAAAGCAACTACATGGAGCTTCTTTCTGGATGGCTATCATCGATTCCCATGATCAACTCTCTCCCATTGATACAAACAACATATTTGAATGCTTTGGAAACATGACACCAAGCCGATGCATTCATCACCCCACTCCTAGTGACTGAGCTAAAGCTAATTCTAACAAGCATTTGTCATATATTCAAGACAATTGGGATGATATGCCACATAGTTAGCCAATGAGGTATTTACACTAGGCAAAATACTGATTCCAGTCTGACACCTGTGCATTATAGCCATCTGAAGCTGTAGTAACAGCATGCATCAGATAATCAGACATTTTCAGTAAACACATTCAACTGAATGTTTCCATCCATCCCTAAATCCTATTGGTAACAGGCAGTAGAAAGAGGAAGTGATGTCACAGTTGGATGTTCTGGAAGGAGAGGTATTGACACATAATACATTACCATGACTGAGACGAGAACAGCAGAGACATAAACAAGAGTGATGACCCTGGTCCAACTTGATAATTATACACTGCTCAAAAAAATAAAGGGAACACTTAAACAACACAATGTAACTCCAAGTCAATCACACTTCTGTGAAATCAAACTGTCCACTTAGGAAGCAACACTGATTGACAATACATTTCACATGCTGTTGTGCAAATGGAATAGACAACAGGTGGAAATTATAGGCAATTAGCAAGACACCCCCAATAAAGGACTGGTTTTGCAGGTGGTGACCACAGACCACTTCTCAGTTCCTATGCTTCCTGGCTGATGTTTTGGTCACTTTTGAATGCTGGCATTGCTTTCACTCTAGTGGTAGCATGAGACGGAGTCTACAACCCACACAAGTGGCTCAGGTAGTGCAGCTCATCCAGGATGGCACATCAATGCGAGCTGTGGCAAGAAGGTTTGCTGTGTCTGTCAGCGTAGTGTCCAGAACATGGAGGCGCTACCAGGAGACAGGCAGGTACATCAGGAGACGTGGAGGAGGCCGTAGGAGGGCAACAACCCAGCAGCAGGACTGCTACCTCCGCCTTTGTGCAAGGAGGAGCAGGAGGAGCACTGCCAGAGCCCTGCAAAATGACCTCCAGCAAGCCACAAATGTGCATGTGTCTGCTCAAACGGTCAGAAACAGACTCCATGAGGGTGGTATGAGGGCCCGACATCCACAGGTGGGGGTTGTGCTTACAGCCCAACACCGTGCAAGACGTTTGGCATTTGCCAGAGAACACCAAGATTGGCAAATTCGCCACTGGCGCCCTGTGCTCTTCACAGATGAAAGCAGGTTCACACTGAGCACGTGACAGACGTGACAAAGTCTGGAGACGCCATGGAGAACGTTCTGCTGCCTGCAACATCCTCCAGCATGACCGGTTTGGCGGTGGGTCAGTCATGGTGTGGGGTGGCATTTCTTTGGGGGGCCGCACAGCCCTCCATGTGCTCGCCAGAGGTAGCCTGACTGCCATTAGGTACCGAGATGAGATCCTCAGACCCCTTGTGAGACCATATGCTGGTGCGGTTGGCCCTGGGTTCCTCCTAATGCAAGACAATGCTAGACCTCATGTGGCTGGAGTGTGTCAGCAGTTCCTGCAAGAGGAAGGCATTGATGCTATGGACTGGCCTGCCCGTTCCCCAGACCTGAATCCAATTGAGCACATCTGGGACATCATGCTTTAGTCCAGGTCTGGGAGGAGATCCCTCAGGAGACCATCCGCCACCTCATCAGGAGCATGCCCAGGCGTTGTAGGGAGGTCATACAGGCACGTGGAGGCCACACACACTACTGAGCCTCATTTTGACTTGTTTTAAGGACATTACATCAAAGTTGGATCAGCCTGTAGTGTGGTTTTCCACTTTAATTTTGAGGGTGACTCCAAATCCAGACCTCCATGGGTTGATACATTTGATTTCCATTGATAATTTTTGTGTGATTTTGTTGTCAGCACATTCAACTATGTAAAGAAAAAAGTATTTAATAAGATTATTTAATTCATTCAGATCTAGGATGTGTTATTTTAGTGTTCCCTTTATTTTTTTGAGCAGTGTATTTATGATGATCTGATCCGTACACTTATCTTATTTTTTTTATTGCCTCTGATCGGTCAATAACAACAAATAGCTTTCTCTTTTTTTTTTACAACTTCAAATTAACCCCTTCACGTCACTCACCCAGCCTTTTGACGGACACATGCCAATCAGTCCCAAACTAGTCAAACTCTAGCCTCACCATTAGACAAAATGAATGATTGACTGAGCCATTGTTGTCCTTTTACAAACACTTGTGGGTTAATATATGCTCTTAGGGTTTAAAAATGCCTTAAGGGTTTAAAAATGCCTTTATAAAGGAGTTCTATATATGTGGGTATTTCATAAGCCATAGGTAGAGACATCATTATAAAGTATAGCCATAACCATTCAACAATTTATTCACGGTAGTTTTTGCACTCGCAACTGATTCCTGGGAGAAAGACTGGGAGAAAAAAGGAAAATCATAGCAGCGTGTTCGTTCTGTCTCTTACATGCATCGTTAATTACCCCGTCCGTTGACACCTCAGCGTTAGGATTCAAGTTGGCACAAAGGACCGATGGAACTCAACGTATATATCAAGTTTGGCCGCCGTCGGTATCTATATATTTATATAGATATATAAAAATAAAAAAATAATAATAATAACATAAATAATAGCAGAAAGAAAACCAACGATTTGGCAACGTGGAGATTTTCTTTTACATTACCCATCGTAATTCGCTTGCCTTGTTTCATTTGCAAGGCATTGAGACACAACATACATATTTCAGTAAGGTAAATTGATAATATTCATCTATGCATGGGATGTCATCTAGTAACATCCCTATGATATTGATGTGTACAAGTCCATACCTTACTTCTCCTACCTCTATCCTTCCATCATTCCCTCCCATTTCTTTGAAGAGTGTGTATTGTGAGGTTACAGTGGAGGGTTGTTTCTATTTTAACAGGCAGTGTAGGTGGCTAATGGGTCTTCCTGGAATGATGGAATGACAGAAAGAGAGAGAGAGAGAATAGGAGAGATCGAGAGGGTGATCAACTTTTCTGGGAGAAAAGGAGGAGGAAAGAGATGGAGGGAGACAGTATGTTTCACATCTCTCATGGGACAGTACAGTACGAGCAGGGTCAAGCCCAATAAGACATCCATCTCCTCTTTCACCGATCCCAAGTCCATATTGAAGTCCTTCCAATTTGATGGGGAATCATTTCATCAAAGCGATGTCCTATGCATCTCATAGTCACTGCTGTATGGTTGGAGTATTGAAAGTTGAAAGCTTTTTTTGTGTCAATTTTCAGTCCCTTTTATTTTCTTGTCTTTCTGTGTGGATAGGATATGCTTGCTGCACAGTGAGCGAGCGTACTGAAGTAACATGTTTTTCCACTCGGGTCCGGAGTGCAGTGTGGAAACTAATGGCAAGGACAGGACAGGAGAGGGGAATTGACTATACCCCCATAGGGAATACATGGTCTGCCGGTGAGAATGTAGAGGAGAAAGAGATTGAGGGAGAGCGAGTGAGATAAAGAGAGCGATCAGAGTGAAGGAGAGAGAGGAGTGAAGAGAGAGGTAAAAGGGGGAGATGGAGAGAAGAGAATTACAAAGAGAGGAGAGACCATGGCACCAGCACAAAGGAGGGGAGTATGTCTGTTACAGGTTACAGTAGTTTAGGATGAGAACAGTAGTACAGTACATTTGGGGTGAGTACAGTATCTCTACTGTATCTTCAGTAGTCTAGGTCAGCACCAGGGAGTTCCAGGGACCTCCATGGCTCAGTTGTCCAGGACCTCAGCACACACCATGCTAGTGTAGAGCTGCTGCGAGGGGCCGTGGTGGGGGTGGTCCGGGTGGGCCTCAGCTTCACTGTCGGTGCTGCCCTCGCTGTCCAGCCTAGCCGAGGGGTGGGGGTGGGGCAGGGCGGGGTACATGGCGTCTGGGGGGATGGGGCTGGGGAGCAGATCCTCATCCGAGCTCAGGTAGTCGCCTCCGGCCGACGAGGGGCTAGCTAGACACAGGTCCGGGTAGCCCCCACCCCCGTCCCGGGAACTAGGGGCGAACTTGGAGCGCTGCCCGCGGAGCTGCCTGATCTAAAAGAGAAAGAAATAAGGATATTTAAGACATTCATACCCGTAGATCATTATCACAATCATCTAGGATATTACTGATATCACAAAGAAAGGCTTTTGATGGTGTTTCAGTTGGTGAGAAGAGGGTCTACACTGGTTGGAAAGTGACCCATTTCTATAGCAACCTGGTATGGTGTTGTAGCCTGCGGTTGAGAGCACGTCAGACTGGATTTAACTCTGTGTGTGGGTGTGTTCTAAATCTAGTACCTGGTAACTGATACAGTTGAAGTCGGAAGTTTACATAAACTTAGGTTAGAGTCATTAAACTCATTTTTCAACCACTCCACAAATTTCTTGTTAACAAACAATAGTTTTGGCAAGTCGGTTAGGGACATCTACTTTGTGCATGACACAAAGTAATTTTTTCTAAAAAAAAATTTACATACACTAAGTTGACTGGTGCCTTTAAAAACAGCTTGGAAAATTCCAGAAAATGATGTCATTGGCTTAGAAGCTTCTGATAGGCTAATTGACATCATTTGAGTCAATTGGAGGGTGTACCTGTGGATGAATTTCAAGGACTACCTTCAAACTCAGTGCCTCTTTGCTGGACATCATGGGGAAAATCAAAAGAAATCAGCCAAGACCTCAGAAAAAGAATTGTGTAGACCTCCACAAGTCTGGTTCAATCCTTGGGAGCAATTTCCAAACGCCTGAAGGTACCACGTTCATCTGTACAAACATAGTATGCAGTATAAACAAAACCACCATGGGACCAACGCAGCCGTCATACCACTCAGGAAGGATACGCGTTCTGGTCTCCTAGAGATGAACGTACTTTGGTGCGAAAAGTGCAAATCAATCCCAGAACAACAGCAAAGGACCTTGTGAAGATGCTGGAGGAAACAGGTACAAAAGTATCTATATCCACAGTAAAACAAGTCCTATATCGACATAACCTGAAAGGCCGCTCAGCAAGGAAGAAGCCACTGCTCCAAAACCGCCATAAAAAAGGCAGACTACGGTTTGCAACTGCACATGGGGACAAAGAATCATACTTTTTAGAGAAATGTCCTCTGGTCTGATGAAACAAAAATAGAACTGTGTTGGCCATAATGACCATCGTTATGTTTTGGAGGAAAAAGGGGATGGCTTGCAAGCAGAAGAAACACCATCCCAACCGTGAAGCACGGGGGTGGGCAGCATCATGCTGTTGGGGGTGCTTTGCTGCAGGAGGGACTGGTGCACTTCCACAAAATAGATGGCATCATGAGGAAGGAGAATTATGTGATATATTGAAGCAACATCTCAAGACATCAGTCAGGAAGTTAAAGCTTTGGTCGCAAATGGGTCTTCCAAATGGACAATGACCCCAAGCATACTTCCAAAGTTGTGGCAAAATGGCTTAAGGACAACAAAGTCAAGGTATTGGAGTGGCCATCACAAAGCCCTGACCTCCATCCTATAGAAAATGTGTGGGCAGAACTGAAAAGGCGTGTGTGAGCGAGGCCTACAACCTGACTCAGTTACACCAGCTCTGTCAGGAAGAATGGGGCCAAAATTCACCCAACTTATTGTGGGAAGCTTGTGGAAGGCTACCCGAAACGTTGACCCAAGTTAAACAATTTAAAGGCATTTCTACCAAATACTAATTGAGTGTATGTAAACTTCTGACTCACTGGGAATGTGATGAAAGAAATAAAAGCTGAAATAAATAATTCTCTCTACTATTATTCTGACATTTCAACTTCTTAAAATAAAGTGGTGATCCTAACTGACCTAAGACAAGGAATGTTTGCTAGGATTAAATGTCAGGAATTGTGAAAAACTGAGTTTAAATGTATTTGGCTAAGGTGTATGTAAACTTCCGACTTCAACTGTAAATAGGTTGAGAAGGTCTGTCGATAAGCTTTACAGAAAGTCAGATTGCCTGTGGATTTTCACTGCCAGTACAGATTTAAGTCTGTTTTACTATGAAAGAACCTGCTGAAGCACCAACCATTTCACCAGTATGTGTGTGTGCGATCACATATGAAACCTGCATCAATGACGTGTAGTAGGTATCCCTTGCGTGACAAGCCACAGCCGGTCTCCGCTTCAGCAAGTACGTGTGTGTCTGTGTGAGCGTATGTGTGTGTGCATGTGTAGATACCACACTGATTCAGGAACACTATGACTAGGCACTCGCCCACCTCTTCCTCTTCTGTCTCGGTGTACAGCAGAGCTCAATCATGTACACTATGCTGTCTGGGAAAAACAGATCTGATTCTAGTTCAGCCCTTTCCGAAGTGTATCAATACTGTACTATGTTGAAATGAATCATATTGTTCAGGGACAAATCAGAATATTCAAAAGTCATTGGCATGACAAGCACTTTAAAATCATAACTTGAAGTTACTAAAAAAACATGTGAATCTCTAGTTATGATACGGTCCAACACCAAAACATGAATTAATTTGCTAAATAGATGCCTGTTGTGCCTTCTGAAGGTGAATTTCTCATTTCTAAACTTGAACCATATTTTAATACACAGTAACTCAGTTGAATTGCTAGGAATTTTGAGACCGGAAAATTACTGCTTGCTAATTTCGACTTTGTCATGAATATTTCGGTACTCTTTACGGAAAGGCTCCATATGATGAATATAACCTACAGTATGCACTCTAAGAACTAGTGAACAGAAAAGGGCAAGGCAGTGTCATCACTCCCTCCTCTGACATCCTTCTCACGCATAGCCTCACTCTGAATGAGCAAGTGTATAGCGTGGTTCAGCTGTGTTTGTGTGTGTGTGTGTGTTTTTAAGCATGTGAGAATCAGTGTTGTCTAGTTCTCACACGCATTCATCGCTCTCTTTCTGAGGTCTGGGGTTTTGAAGGGGTATGTCTGTTTTTGGTTGGAAATGTCATACAAAGGAAGGCCAGTGTTCCCTGATTGCAAGAAAGGTAGATTCTAGTATGTCATGCTTCATGTGGCGACCAACATCTATCATTTCAGAGAAATACAAAAAGCATGAGGGGATCTGATTCACATGTAGCTGGGTTTCAATGGCTAAACTAACCCCAGCTTTTACTGGTGTGTGTGGGGGTGGTCCCGTGTGGCTCAGTTTGGTAGAGCATTGCGCTTGCAACGCCAGGGTTGTGGGTTCCATTCCCACAGGGGACCAGAACCAAAAAAAGTATGCAAATGTATGAAGTCACTACTGCAAGTTGCTCTGGATAAGAGTGTCTGCTAAATGACTAAAATGTTAAATGTGTGTGTGACCTCGTTCTTGAGCTCTCCGATCTGGTCTCGAAGCTGGGTGATATACTGGCTGGAGTCAGAGTGGTTCAGCTGACCCTGGATCAGACCCTCCTCCTTCTGTAGGACACAGGGATAGACACACAAACTCACGTACGCAACCGAACAGTCAACGCCAAAGAAGTAGGGAAGACGATCTCTCCAATGCACACATACCACCCAGAAGAAATCTAAATACACTTGACAATGACATCCAGTCAATATGGAAGTCAAGTTTAGATCTGTATACAAACACCCCACCTGTATCTCCAGCTCAGCTATCTTCTGTCTGAGCTCAGCCATGGCAGCCATGCTGTCAGCCTCCCGCAAGCGCACCGCCATCACCTCCTCTTTACTCTACAGAGAGAGGGAAGAGAGTGGTGGAACAGAAAAGAAAAGACAGAATGAGAAAAATCACCTCTGGTGCAAAGCCTGAGTGAAAGCCACTAGTCCATCTAGTTGTGCAATAGCGTCTGTTTGAATTGCAGCCTCACACACACAGCCCACTTATTAATGTCACCCTTGACTGCTTCCATTTCCCCCCACCCTCTCCTTTACCCATCTCTCTCCCTCCCACCATCTTCTCACCTGGCAGTCAGTCCACTTACTCCACTACCTTCCTCCATCCTCCCCATACCTTCTCCACTCCCCCTCTCCTCCCACTTCCATCCATCCCTCCCTCTTTCTGCATCTTCCTCTCCCTCTCCCGTCTTACCTTGCAGCCCACTTATCCCACACATATCAATGCTACCATTGGCTACCTCCATCCTCTGCCTCTCCCCCACCTTGCAGTCGAGCTCAGCCTGTTTCCTCTTCATCTCGGTGAGCTGGGCCTGCAGCCCCTTGTTCTGGCCTGCCAGCTGCTGCAGCCTCTCCTGCAGGGCGGCGCTCTCCACCTCATGGCGCCCAATCAGCTTGCCATGAATCTGGTTCTGAAGGTGAAGAGAGAGTGGGGACACTGTCAGAAGGCTGAAAGCGTAATTAGTCACTCTGGATTAGCGTCTGTGAAATTACAAGTATTTTAATGTAATGTATATGATATTAGTTGTCTGCCTCTGTCTAAGTGTTTCAACAAGAAATAATCAAGTTTGTAACAAAAAGCTAATTTGAGAAATGAACGACTTGTACTTCCACACACGCAAATCACCCGTTGACATCAATGCATTATTTATGTGAAACTGAGTTATGCACACGCTTGTCAGGTTACATAAAGGCCCAAAAGCAGGTTAACGTTTATTGGGATGAATCTTGTCCTGGAGGCAGAGCTGAGCGATTTCCACTAGATGGGCAGGCTGCAAAGTCAAAATTGGCTATATTATAAACAAAAATGAAAACAAAAATGAGCTTTTTAGTCTTAATTTAAGGTTAGGTTTCAAATCTGCTTTTATGACTGTGGCTGTGCCAGCTAGTGACCCCTCTACAGAGCTGCCTCCAGTACATGAGTCATCCCAATAAATGCCAACCTGAGGCCCAAAGTGATGAACTGTAAAGAAAATGTGTGTGTGTGTGCCTATGTTGTTGTATAGAGCTGTGAATAATCCACCACAACAAACATCTCACTCATCAGGGTGAGAAACATGAGTGTGGAACTGAATGTTAAAACACTGAGCGAGGTACTTTCCATAAATCAAAAAGATGACAGTAAATGTATCTTCCTTACCACTTTTATACTGCATTGTTCTTTCACAATGTCGTATAATGTCACACTATTTGTCCTTGGAATTTATCTATCATTTCCACACAGTATTTGATGTATGAATTACCCCCTAGTCATTTAGGCCTAATGAAAATCTCTATTAGAAATGTGATCCAACACAATGCATTTCCCTAGGCTGGTCCCAGAACTGCTTCTGCCGTCTTGCCAACTCCTATGGTCATTGTTACGTGCAACAGACCTGGGATCAGACTAAATCAATAAGAGCACAAACAGATCTGAGATCAGGCTAAAGTATTTCACCATAGTGTTACTCCACTGACCTGGCTCTCCAGCTGTATGGCTTTGAGTTTGACCTCCCTGAGTTCAGCCTGGGCCTGGGCCTCTCTCAGACGCACCCCCATCAGCTTGTCCTGCAGCTCGTTCAGGGCGTTCTTCTTGGGGGATTCCTTCCAGTGACCTCCAACCCCACCGCTTTTTGACATGTGGTGCTGGAGAGGGAGAGAGAGAGAGGAACCGAGACGAAGAACAGGTTAGAGAGCCACAACCATGGTGCATAGGTTCTCCATCTATCTCTCTCTTTCTTGTGCCCCTGCTGGTTTACATCTTTGGGATTACTTTCATGTCTGAGTGGTGACAGAGAGTAGAGGTTTGCTGAATGTATCCTTTATCCTTTTATGGTGTGATGACTCCACTGTAATCTTGTTGATTCACTAGTAGATCTATTCATCTACCTACCACTAAATGTAACCGGTGTGAAATGGCTAGCTAGTTAGCGGTGACGTCACTCGCTCTGAGACCTTGAAGTAGTCGTTTCCATTGCTGTGCAAGGGCCGCAGCTTTTGTGGAGCGATGGGTAACGATGCTGACTGTTGTCAATGTGTGCAGAGGGTCCCTGGTTCAAACCCAGGTTGGGGCTAGGAGAGGGACAGAAGCAACACTGTTGCATTGATGCTGTTGACCTGGATCATTGGTTGCTGCGGAAAAGGAGTAGGTCAAAGGGGGTGAGTGTAACCGGTGTGAAATGGCTAGCTAGTTTGCGGTGCGCGCTGGTACAGTTTCAATCAGTGATGTCACTCGCTCTGAGACCTTGAAGTAGTTGTTTCCCTTTTTGTGGAGCGATGGGTAACGATGCTTCGAGGTTGACTGTTGAGGTGTGCAGAGGGTCCCTGGTTCAAACCCAGGTTGGGGCGAGGAAAGGCACAGATACTGTTACATAAACACTGTTCTTCTAGTCAACTTTACTATGCTCTCCCCTTCTAAAGCCTTCCGTTCCCTACTGTACAGACCTCTGTGGTGTGTTACTTACCTGCCAGCGCTGGTTGAGCTCGGTCACCGTGTCCTGCATCTCTCTGAAGGAGTGCAGTGTCTCCAGCTCTCTGAGCTTCACCAGCTTCAGCTCATCCTGCAGCTGGGCCACGTTGTTCTCATCAGGCAGAGAGCTGCTCCTCTGGAACGCACACGATGAAGATATGAAACACACAGATACAACGACACACACACACACACACACGCACAGGTGTGTTCTCTTACCTTCTCTAGGTCCAGTACTTTGTCCTGCATCTCTTTGAGGGCTCCCAGTAGCTCCACCTCCTGCAGCCGGGACTGCTCCAGCTGCGTCTGCAGACCGGTCACAAACTGCTCTGTGTACTGAGACACAACACATGGACCAATTATAAACTGAGACAACACACTGGGACCAATACCAAACTGACACTACACATACCAACCAATCACAAACTACTCTGTGTACTAAGGCATCAGAAGATAAAGATCATCCACCCAGCAAAGTCAGAAGAGGACTGGGCCAACCCTCAGAGACTGGTTCCTCTCTAGGTTTCTTCCTAGGTTCCTGCCTTTCTAGGGAGTTTTTCCCTAGCCACTGTACTTCTGCATCACTTTCTCTTTGGGGATTTAGGCTGGGTATCTGTATAGCACTTTGCGACTGCTAATGTAAAAATGCCTTTTTAAAATACATTTGATTGATTGATTGGGTCAGAAGATTGTCTAAATGGCAGGATATGGGAACCGCTCAGTCTATCAGTGTCTCCACGAGGTGGATTCACCTCATTTGTGTACACCCAAGCTGATAAATGAGTGATGTACTAAAAGGAGACGTGGAGTACAGCTCTGTGTAGCTGTGGCTGTGATAGTTGTGGTGGGATGGACAGAAGGGATGTGGTGGGCAAAGACTGCAACAGACCCGGAAACATGGCCGTTTCTCAATAGATGCATTTCAGAGAGAAGAGACAGAGAGAGATGGTGAGAGAGAAAGTTGGGACAGACCAAGAGAGTGAGAAACCAATATTTTTGTAGGTGTATGCATGGCATAAAAGCCTTTCTTTCTTTGTGAATTAAAGTACCCACTCAGTTTCAAATGTGAGAGAGAAGTGAGAGGTGGGGGTGTGTGAGTTTCTGGCTTGGTAATATACCCAGGCTAGTCATCGGAGGCACAACACACTATCTGACCACACCTGAAACTCCAATTCCATAGCAACAACACCACACACACCTATACTACTGATTCTCTCCATGGCCCCAATCCTAGTAGATCTAAACCTAGTTCACTGTGTGTTGAAAGACTGATGGAGGAGGAGGAGACAGTCAAGGAAACAATGTCGAGACGTGTGAACTCTCACACACCCTATTCGTCACATGGTGAATGAGTGTAATTAGTGTGAAGAGAAACCACATTGTTAAAATACTACATAGCCATAATATGACATTTGAAATGTCTCTATTCCTTTGAAACTTTTGAGTGTAATGTTTACGGTTCATTTCTGTTTATTTCACTTTTGTTTATTATCTATTTCATTTGCTTTGGCAATGTAAACATATGTTTCCCATGCCAATAAAGCCCTTTGAATTGAAACTGTGAAACCAACGTCTGTAGAAAGAGTTGTGGTTCCTGACACATTTAGTAACAGAAACATATCGTCATCTTTTGTTTTTGCCGTAGTTGGGGACTTGCATTCAAAACGGATTCAAGCACTAACTGACAAACACGTGTTTGAATAGACAAAAACAACAAGTGTGTGTAAAAAAGATTTCAAACGACATGCTGCACACATGATGCAGCGCACCTTGAGGCAAAGTCACAGAGGAGCATTCAGTGTTGCTGTAGCATACAACACACACAAACACACAAGGACAGGCGACACACAGCTGCCAAAACATATCTACAATAGAATAACCGAACCCCGGCCTCCCGAGTGGCGCAGCGGGAGTGGCAGCGATGGAACAACACTAACTACTAATTGAATATCACGAAATTGGGGAGAAGGGGTCAAAAAACTACTAACTGAACCCCTTTTGTGCTGTACCAGCTGGGCTACAGGCATTGTCTGTCTGTCTACGCTTTCAATATCACACTATTGTCCACCTCACCATGGCTGTCTGTCTACACCTATACATTAGATGGCACATACAACTGGCTAATACAACACCAGCCCTGGGTGAACACAATGTTATAACACTATGGATTTCAAACAGGTCAATCAAACTCTATACAATGACTACCGCCCGTAGCACTCACGTTGGTAGCTATGAAGTGCCCCAACAGATCCACAGATGACACAATCTCAATCGCACTCCACACTGCCCTTTCCCACCTGGACAAAAGGAACACCTATGTGAGAATGTTGTTCATTGACTACAGCTCGGCGTTCAACACCATAGTGCCCACAAAGCTAATCACTAAGCTAAGGACCCTGGGACTAAACACCTCCCTCTGCAACTGGATCTTGGACTTCCTGACGGGCCGCCCCCAGGTGGTAAGGGTAGGCAACAACACAAATGCCACGCTGATCCTCAACACGGGGGCCCTCAGGGGTGCGTGCCTAGTTCCCTCCTGTACACTCCCGGTTTACCCACGACTGCGTGGCCAAGCACTACTCCAACACCATCATTAAGTTTGCTGACGACACAACAGTGGTAGGCCTGATCACCGACTGTCATAGACTGTTCTCTCTGCTACCACACGGCAAGCGGTACCGAAGCGCCAAGTCTAGGTCCAAAAGGCTCCTTAACAGCTTCTACCCCCAAGCCATAAGACTGCTGAACAGTTAATCAAATGGCCACCCGGACTATTTGCATTGACCCCACTCCCCCCCTTTGTTTTTACACTGCTGCTACTCGCTGTTTATTACCTATGCATAGTCATTTTACCCCTACCTATATGTACATATTACCTCAATTACCTCGACTAACCTGTACCCCCGCACATTGACTCGGTACCAGTACCCCACTGTATATATAGCCTCGTTATTGTTATTTTATTGTGTTACCTTTTTTAAACTTTAGTTTATTTAGTAAATATTTTCCTAACTCTATTTTCTTAACTGCATTGTTGGTTAAGGGCTTGTAAGTAAGCATTTCACTGTAAGGTCTACACCTGTTGTATTCGGCACGTGACAAATAACATTTTATTTGATTTATAATGTACGATGTTTCTCTACTGGCAACTGAAAGCAATAACTCTACATTAGAAACAGTCAATACATTGACAAGCAACACCATACTAAAACACACCCAGATTTACTGTACGTGAGCGTCAAACGGGTTACTTTGGTAGTGATTCAGTTTCTGTATTTTACATTTTCAGATAAGATCCATAAAGAGAAACTAAGAAAGTGTTTACCAGCCTGTCCACTATCATCAAAGTGCTACCCTACACTTACAATGAAACTTGATCCTGAACTTACAAATCACGAACATCCATACACGGAGTTACACTGAACTGTTTAAAAAGCAACTCAACACAAACTGGTTTGGGGAAATTCACTTTGACACTTCCCCGTTCTCGCCAACACCAGCCTTTATTTTTTTAGCCGAAGAATTTCTCAACATCATCGATTTAGAATGTAACTATTTTTGAAATGACAAGTCAAATTCGCAAAAAAATATGTTGATATTTTACGAGCAGAAGACCATCAGAATGAGTCAGTTCCCCAAACAAGAAAAACAACAACCACAAGGGCAACCACTGACTATACAGCCTAGTGCTTGTAATTTTCCATACCAGTCACTGGCGCATCACATTTCTTTTGTTGTCAATTTGTACCTTTTAGAACTTGTTACCCATTGCAATATAGTTTTTTACTCATAATCTCTTAGCGAAAAGACGGGTGCACCGTTCATCAAAGCCTGACTCTAGATCAGTTCTACATCTGAGTCCCTGCCCCTGCAGCATCCCAATATCTCACCCACACTGACTCCAGATCATTCCTTACCTTCTCCCGCTGCAGTTCTCCGATGGTGTCCTGGGCTTTCTCCAGGTTCTGGCTGGTCACGCTGAACTGCTGCCTCACCACCGCCAGCTCCCGCTTGATCACGTAGTTCTCCTCAGCCTCCTGCGCCCGCGTCACCTGACCCTGGAATAGTTAAGATAGAGGGTCAGAGACCAGAGGGGGCCGTGTCAGTTATAGGGAATGTGTCTGGGGGGTATCGACAACGTTGGTTTGAATTTAGAGGGAATTGGGGCTTAGCGTTAACACTTTCACTATTGAGGTTAGATATTAGGAGTTGACAGAGTAGAATATAAATGGCTCTTCTGTATCCTATCCTATTAGGTTGTAATTACCCTACAAAGACATTTCTATCCTAATAAATGACAAAGGGCCTAAAACAGTGCCTTGGGGTACACCTGTGTTTCCACATGCCACATGCAGGGCTGTAGGCCTTAGTATTAGAGCTCCTGCCATGGACACACAGATGCACATGCGGTGAAGGGGGAGCATGGTCTGACGGACAGACAAACAAACATTCTCTCATGCAGAAGTCAGGCATTGATTGGTCACTGTCAAGGAGACGGAGAGAGGAAGTGCAGGAGGAAGGAAGGTGTGAGAGGAGGAGAGGAGAGATGGTTTTCCAGTACTGTACCTGTATCAGCCTGTCTGCTAGAGCAGCACTTTCCTACAACACCGGTGAAGGAGAGGAAGAAGAGGATAAGAAAAGGAAGAGAAAAGGAAAGGAGGAAAAGGAAAGAATAGGAAGAAATAAAGAGGAAGATAAGGAATGGGCGAACAGGGCGAACGAGTAACGGAAATATGACAACAGGAAATAAATAAGAGAAGGGGAAGAGAGGGTGAGAGAGAAATCGATAATATAGAGTGAAAGAGCGGCAGTGTGTTTGTGTGAGAGAAGGAATAAAGAAGAGAACAGAAAGACAAAAAGCTTTACTCAGAGAACAACAGGAGAGAAGAAAGTGGGAAAAGAAAAGCCAGAGTACTTGGAAAAGAAGGAGAGACTTAGTGGCTCCGGTCTAGAATAAGGCCCATCAATTTAAATCATCCACTCACGCACACAAAATCAACAGACATGATCTCTGTCCTTAGGTACATTCACAACTTAAGTAACCTCACTTATTCTGTAAATGTGACAGGATATAAGTATTAGTTGGCATGGCTATATTTTAGCTTCATATGTTTCTGGCTGTGTTTTATTGTACATCATCAACCTTATTCACATAAGCGCTAAAGTGAGTGTCTGACTCGAAGCCAAGTTTCCATCTCTTACCTTCTCCAATGTCTCAATCCTTTGCTTCAGAAGCCTGTTCTCTGTGCGTAACCTCTGTGGATTTTTTTTGGTATTTAAGACGAGTAGAGAGACAGTTAGGAAACTGTGTTAGTCATTATACAAGGTAAAACAGAAAAACGTTTTTTCTGTTGGCCTATTAATATATTAAAGAAGAAGTTAGACATGCACACACACACACACACACACACACACCTTAATCTCTATCTGCTCCTCCATCTCTTTGTTCTTGATTGTGGTGTACTCTTTCTCCAACCTGGCAAATAAAAGCATTTTAGCAGAGTTAGATTCATACAATATGTTTCCATTGTACATTTATGTATTTGACTATGTGCAAATAAAACTGAAACGAATCTAATCTTAAACTAAAAGCATGCTTTGTATAGTAATAACACCACAAACCAGGTCCCATTAGGCCATATCAACTGTAGTCTACACCCTAAAGCCAGTATTGTTATTCTAATATATGATCAGACGCAGAACCTACTTCTTCATCCTCTTGGGGTTGTATTTAACCTGGTAGGCCCTCAGGATCAGCTTGTCTGGGCAGCTGTCAAACTGGTGGGGGATCACCTTCTGGAAGTGCTGTGAGAGAAGGCAAAGACATGGTTAGAGCTCCATATAATAAACTATGAAAAATAATATGTCCTGTTAATACACTATGAACGAGCATATGTCCTGTTAATACACTATGAACGAGCATATGTCCTGTTAATACACTACGAACGAGAATATGTCCTGTTAATACGCTACGAACGAGAATATGTCCTGTTAATACACTACGAACGAGAATATGTCCTGTTAATACGCTACGAACGAGAATATGTCCTGTTAATACGCTATGAACGAGAATATGTCCTGTTAATACACTACGAACGAGAATATGTCCTGTTAATACACTACGAACGAGAATATGTCCTGTTAATACGCTATGAACGAGAATATGTCCTGTTAATACGCTATGAACGAGAATATGTCCTGTTAATACACTACGAACGAGAATAATACGTCCAGTATAGGTAATCACATGATAATTGAAGTAAAGACCCTTCACAAATGCCCATATGTTTATACAGTGGTTAATTCCACTTTTTTTGTTTTTCTTGCTTGCAGCAAGTCTTGTGTCTATCTACATTGATAATTCATGACTTATACTATAGTGCAGGGGTCCCCAATTAGATTTAGCTGTGGGCCGATTTTTCCTTGAGCGGATGGGCGGGGGGCCGGAACATAGTTATAAATAATTTGTACACTGCACATTGACCGCAAGAACGGATATAGTACTTGACAAAACAATTATAATTTCAAACCTTGATTACATTTTAATACAATCACATATGCCTCTATTTATCCATGGGAATACTTGGGAACAGATTTCCTAAATTAAAATCATTTTGAGCTCATTTTCTGGTGATTCTACAGTCTTTTATGCCCAAGAAAGAAAAGTAATATTATTATTTTTTAAATAAAAAAAAACTCAACTTGGGGGGCCAAATAAAAGCACCCGCGGGCCGAATTTGGTCCCTTAAAGCTGGATTATTTAATGGTGAAACAGCCTACTGGGGAACCCTGCTGTAGTGCCCTTTATGTGATGCACCCTATTCCATATATTGTGTACTACTTTTGACCAGAGTCCTATGGGGGGCTAGTGGTTGTTACCTGGGACATGCCCTCCATGTCCAGCTGGATGAGGTCAGTCTGGTTGTACTGCAGAATGGCCATGCCCACACGAAATATAATCTCCAGACCCTGAAGACAGGGAATGAAAGTTCAATTCAACACACACAGTACTAGATCACAAGATTCTCTTGTAGAATAGATTTTATCTTAATGAGAACAACCTGGAAATAAAGGTTACAAAATTAAAATAAATCAGACATAATGTATATTAGATCCACTATGTTTATGTTTTCTAAGTATATGTTCACCCAAACACGTTCTCACACTCACCTATAAGACACCAGTGGTGAGTCTCTTACCTCGTACATGAAGATATCAAAGATGCGCGTGGCGACGGGCATGGGGAGGAAGGTGAGGAAGAGAGTGAGGAACCAGGAGGAGGCGTACATGGAGGTGTGGAAACTCTGAGAACGGAAGTGAACGTTCAGCTCCGGGAGCTGCTCCTGTTGGGATAAGGAAAGAGAGGGAAAAGAGGAATGGAAAAGGGTGGATGAGAGGAAGAGGAAGGGAAAGAAGGGAAGAGAGGGAACGAGAGGGAAGGAAGCGTTAATAGGGATTTTAGTTCAGCTACAAATCCATAATGGTTTCAAAGTGGTACTTTTAAATGTAAGGACTAACCTAGCTCAAGTCTGTGCTGTATGAATCTATTTGCTGCCCCATAGTGGACAACTTTATCATTGCAATATCTGTGCTTATTCCCCAACTACAGTACACTGTATATGAACCTAGGTACAACTAGACATGTTTGAGGTAAACCAATCATTTCAATCCCAGACACCTGCCAGGCCCTTAAGGTTTTTAGTTTATTTGTCAATAGATGCGTCCTAAATAGCACTGTATTCCCTACATAGTGCACTACTTTTGACCTATTGGCCCTGGTCAAAAGTAATGCACTTTATAGGGAATAAGGTGCCATTTGGGACGCATACAACCTTCTACATTGGCCAGCGTGACATATGGAGATGAATAAAGACAGAGTTTATTTACCTGCAGCAAGTATTCAAACTGGTAGATACAGAGGCCTAGCTCAGCCATGGTTGGTTTGAACAGCTCCCTCAGACGGTACTCCTGCATCAGACGCACAAACACACAGAACGCCTCCTCCTCTGGCATCTAGAGGGCCACAGGAGAGACAGGGTCAGGCCGTGTGTGTGTGTGTGTGTGTGTGTGTGTGTGTTCGCACTAATCAGGAGCTCAGAGGTAATTTATTCATATAAGCAAGGGAAAAAGGGTAGAATCAGGACAATTCCGTATTTAGCACAACGTAGAGTGATAGCAAGAGAGGGGGATGTCTAGACTAGAGGGCTGCTGAAGAGACGTTACCTGCATGAGCAACAGGCCCACGATGAAGGCACTGCCCTGGCAGTAACCCACCTCCCTGTCCACCAGAGAATACGCCTGCACACACAGACATCAATATGAACAAACCTATACTCATAGGGGAGGTTCCCCGGACACAGATTCAGTTTAGAGATTCTCCATTTGCCATTCTTTTTAGTCCAGGACTAGGCTTAATCAGTGTCTGGGAAACCGGCCCATACAGTTCATATACACATCTAACTCAATCAATCAATCAAATGTATTTATAAAGGCCTTTTTACATCAGCAGATGTCAAAGTGCTATACAGAAACCCAGCCTAAAACCCCAAACAGCAAGCAATGCAGATGTAACTGCTTCTAACTGTTCATCAAACTGCACATCTCACTAGTATAAAAAGGACTAATCAAACCAAATCCATTCTGTTTGTCCATGTGAACCAAAGAGACAACATTCTAATAATGCAGAAAAAAAGTCATGTCAAAGGTCAAAATGTCATGCACCCTCACCTTCATGACGTTGAAGAGCACCTCCTGACCCAGGCTGTCCTGGCCCTTGAAGAACTCATGCTCGGGGTAGGTGCGGGCGATGTCCCGTCGGATGAGCTTTTCGCAGGGCGAGGACATCTTGAGCAGCTCAGAGTACTGGTTCTTCACTGGCATGTCTGTGGCGTTACCCAGCAGCTGCCACACGATCGCCCGGAAGTGGTGTGGGATGCCCTTACGGATCAGCTCCTGGAGGTGAAAAGAAAGGTTTATTTACAAGTCAAATTCTCAGTTTACTGTAAAACTCTACATCCTAGCCTATACTGAATGTCTACACCCTCTCATATGTCTCTAATCTTCACTTATCCTTTCTTCTCCCTCCATCTGTGCTCTCTCCTCATTTGTCCTCGCTCCCATTTTCTCCTCTCTAATCTCTCCTGCTGTTCCCCTCTCCCTTTTTCCATCCTCTCCCCTCCTTTTCCCTGGCACCGTCTGCTCTCTCCCTCATCCATCCTCTCTCTCCATGTTCTCCTCTCTTCCCCTTGCTCCTTTCCAACTCATCCATCGCTTCTCACCTTCCCTACTGTCCTCTCTCCCCTTATTCGTCCTCTCTGCTCTGTCCCCGCGCTCCATCTTATCCCCCCTATCCCCTATGTACCCTCTCCCTTACCCATCCATCCATCTCTCCTCTGCCCACCACTCCCACGTCATATCTCCTCTTCCCCCCCCTCTCCTCCCCTCATTTATCCCATCTCTCCATCTTCTCCCCTCTCTTCCCTTCGCTCTATCAGTCTCTCGATCACTCATCCATCCTCCCACCCCTCACCTTGAGCAGCTTGTCCTTCTTGCGTCTCCACTCGTCCCACTCGTTGACGATGCGTCCCCACAGGATCCAGGTGTCCTCCTCCAGGTGGGACAGGTTGGACGAGGCAGAGGAGCTGGACACCAGGGACGAGCCGCTGTTCCGCCGCGAGCCGCTCATTGAGCGCATTGACTTGGAGTCCGCCTCCAGAAGTCTGGGGAGGAGGAAGGGGGGGTCAAGGGGTTAGAGGTCAATGGTCAGATAAGGGTCATGAGTGACTCGAGTCACTTATGCTTTCATTACTCATCTTGTTTCTTTCTATTACTTGCTTATATATTTTTTATTGTTAATCCATAATGTTAAACTCTTCGGGCTTAATGTTATATTTCTCTTTTGCATTAATTAGACTGTTCACTTCAATTTACGAAAAAAGAGTTTAAAAAAACCTTGAAACTTTTTCATTTTTACCCCAAGTGATGTAGTAGAAAATCATGTGGGAGAATGTCATCTAAAACACTGGAGGGCACAAACAACCTGCAGTACCTTTAATACTACTAGGTGAAGTCACTGAGCCTTGCAGTGCACCTCTCTTGATAGTGAAACACTGGGCCTTTTGTTGAGACTTATCAGTTTCAAGGCCGTAGCAGCTACTCTGATAGTAGACACACTGAGGGTGCGTGCAAAATGGCAGCTTTTTTCTCCTATATAGTGCACTGCTTTTGACCAGAGCTCATCTGGACCCTGGTCAAAAGTAGTGCACTACATAGGGAATAGGGTGCCATTTCAGACACAGACTGAGTGTGTGCTTGCACATTGGTTATAATTATGTGGCAGTAACAGCAAAGCTCCAGCTCACAGAGGCAGAAGAGGCAGGTGCAACAGTGAATGTTCCAGCTCTGGCATCAAAGCGTATCTCAGCTAGCCTAGCCGGCCCACTAGGCCTTGGCCAGAGGCTCCTCCAGCCCAATGAGACATCTGCTCAGTGCATCTGCTCTGGAGCTACCCACAACGGGGAGAGGCTAACCTCTGCTACCCCATACAGACCTGGAAGCCTCATAGCAATGTTCTGTAACACAGATGGATCGCTGGACTGTACCTGTCTGTTTACGAGTGGATCATCATTTACCTGGCAAAATATCAGCAAATGCCATTCTCACAACAGCGCAGTGATCTTGAAGGCAGCCATGCAAGACCAGTCACCAGGCACTAATTTTGCAACAGTAGGCAGGTTTATTTGACAAAAGCAATATTGCGAAAAGAAATCTTGGTGACATGTGTAATGGAAACGGCAGATATAGGAGAAATGTTCTAAAGATCAACATTTATCTGTTCGATATGGGTGGATTTTTATTTTGTAGAACTTTCTTTATTGCGACAAATTCTGATGGAAACTATTTTTAGAATAAATGATTGCTAAATAATTGTTAAGGTAGGCCTAACTATAAAGATTGAATCCACATCTAATTCTAAATGCCAACTACTTGCAAAATAATAATGTTTCTTTGCAGGACAAGGATTGTCCTGACTTTCAAGAATGCCTGAATTGCTTCGCTTGCTTTTCTGGTTGGCTGGATGCAAGTTCACTATCCAATTATTTCAGATCAACAGGAGTGCAAGTTTCACCATGGCAAGGACTGTGATGATACAGTGGCACATGACAATTATTAGAATATGGCAAATATTAGTCAATTCTTGCATTCTTTCCATGCTGGCTCTTGCGGGCTACCTGAGACATGAAACAGATAGGTGGGAGGGCATACAGGCTGTCGCCAATTTATTAATGCGCAATTTGTATAAATGGATCATGGAAACACTTCAACCACTTCATTTTTATTTGACACTAGGTTTTATAAATACAAAAATTATAATTTGATGGGATGTCATTACGTCCAGCTGTTTTTAAATCGACACAAGACAGTTCAATGGAAACGCAACGTGGCAGGCAATTGTCGCATCTATTTTCTATGCAAACTTTCTAAATGCCTACACAAAACCCCTGGACAAGTTCATGGAAACATACAGGTAACTGCCAAAATAAATTACACTTGAGTAAATGAGGCATACAAAGTCAATTGTAAGCAGGTGCTTCCACACAGGTGTGGTTCCGGAATTAATTAAGCAATTAACATCCCATCATGCTTAGGGTCTATGTATAAACATGGCCAGTCTCCCATTATTTTGGCCACCATGACTAGAAGAAGATATCTCAGTGACTTTGAAAGAGGGGTCTCAAAGGTGCATAGGGGGTTTAAAGGGTGTGTGTGTCTCAGTCACCAGATCTCAACCCAACTGAACACTTATGGGAGATTCTGGAGCGGCGCCAGACAGCCTTTTCCACCACCATCAACAAAACACCAAATTATGGAATTTCTCGAGGAAGAATGATGTCGCATCCCTCCAATAGAGTTCCAGACACTTGTAGAATCTATGCCATGGTGCATTGAAGCTCTTCTGGTGGCCCAACACCCTATTAAAGACACTTTATGTTGGTGTTTCCTTTATTTTGGCAGTTACCTATAGCTACTGTGCAACACGTGAACCCCAGTTCCAATCTCTTTCTCACCTGTTCTGCTCCTCCAGCTTAGCCAGCAGCTCTAGCTCGTCAGGGCTCAGGCTCTCCGAGTCAGCGGGGGAGGCGGCGGGGGCCGAGAGCATGGCATCTTGGCAAGATGAGTCCGGGCTGAGCAGGGGGCTGCCCATGGAGTGGTCCATGCCAGGGGGAGAGGAGGGGGGACACTCCAACTGGTTGGGTCCCCCTGTGGAGCCCTCTCTCTCGGGGCTGCCGCTGGGGGTGGACATGGTGGTGGTGGGCACGGTGCAATGCACTGTGGGACAGGGGAGGCTGTGGCTGGATCTCCTCACCCGTCTCCCCCGCTGTAGGGTCACCTGGTAGGGCGGCGCCGGAGCGTGGAGCCAATCGGATCAGGGTTCCTCAAACCTGTTGTGAATTTAGAGGACATTTGAATTACGAGGACATATTCACGAGGACATACATTGAACAAAAATATAAATGCAACAAGTAAAGTGTTGGTCCCATGTTTCATGAGCTGAAATAAAAGATCCCATAAAATGTTCCATACGCACAAAAAGCTTATTTCAACAACAAAGAATATCACAAATTTGGTTACATCCCTGTTAGTGAACATTTCTCATTTGCCAAGATAATCCATCCATATGACAGGTGTGGCATATCAAGAAGCTGATTAAACAGCATGATCATTACACAGGTGCACCTTGTGCTGGGGACAATAAAAGGCCACTCTAAAATGTGCAGTTTTGTCACAACACAATGCCACAGATGTCTCAAGTTGAGGGAGCGTGCAATTGGCATGCTGACTGCAGGAATGTCCACCAGAGCTGTTGCCAGAGAATTGAATGTTCATTTCTCTACCATAAGCCGCCTACAATGTCGTTTTAGAGAATTTGGCATTTCGTCCAACCGGCCTCACAACCGCTGACCACGTGTATGGCGTTGTGTGGGCGACTGGTTTTCTGATGTCAACGTTGTGAACAGAGTACCCCATGGTAGCGGTGGGGTTATGGTATGGGCAGGCATTAGCTACAGACAACGAACACAATTGCATTTGATCAATGTCAATTTGAATGCACAGAGATATCGTAACGAGATCCTGAGGTCCACTGTCGTGCTATTCATCTGCCATCATCACCTTATGTTTCAGCATGATAATGCACAGTCCCATGTCGCAAGGATCTGTTCCTGGAAGCTGAAAATGTCCCAGTTCTTCCATGGCCTGCATACTCAACGATCGACGTGTACGACAGCGTGTTCCAGTTCCCACCAATATCCAGAGGAGTGGGACAACATTCCACAGGCCACAATCAATAGCCTGATCAACTCTATGCGAAGGAGATGTGTTGCGCCGCATGAGGCAAATGGTAGTCACACCAGATACGGACTGATTTTCTGATCCACGCCCCACCGTTTTTTGTTAAGGTATCTGTGACCAACAGATGCATATCTGTATTCCCAGTCATGTAAATCCATAGATTAGGGCCTCATGTATTTATTTCAATTGACTGAATTCCTTATATGAACTATAACGCAGTAAAATCTTTGAATGCATGTTGCGTTTATATTTTTGTTCAGTATAAACTACCGGTCAAAAGTATTAGAACACCTACTCATTCCATTTTATTTTTATTTATTTGTACTATTTTCTACATTGTAGAATAATAGTGAATACATCAAAACATACCTGGAGGTATGTTGGGTCATTGTCCTGTTGAAAAACAAATGATAGTCCCACTAAGCCCAAGCCAGATGGGATGGTGTATCGCTGCAGAATGCTGTGGTAGCCATACTGGTTAAGTGTGCCTTGAATTCTAAATAAATCACAGACAGTCTCAACAGCAAAGCACCCCCACACCATAACACCTCCTCCTCCATGCTTTAAAGTGGGAACTACACACGCAGAGATCATCTGTTCACCCACACCGCATCTCACAAAGACATGGCGGTTTGAACAGAAATCTCCAATTTGGACTCCAGACCAAAGGACAAATTTCCACCGGTCTAATGTCCATTGCTCGTGTTCCTTGGCCCAAGCAATTGACTGACCTTCATGTCTTTAAGTAATGATGGACTGTCGTTTCTCTATGCTTATTTGAGCTGTTCTTGCCATAATATGGACTTTGTCTTTTACCAAATAGGGCTATCTTCTGTATACCCCCTACCTTGTCACAACACAACTGATTGGCTCAAACGCATTAGGAAGGAAAGAAATTCCACAAATTCACTTTTAAGAAGGCACACCTGTTAATTGTAATGCATTCCAGGTGACTACCTCATGACGCTGGTTGAGAGAATGCCAAGAGTGTGCAAAGCTGTCATCAAGGCAAAGGGTGGCTATTTGAAGAATCTCATATATATATATATATTATTTGTTTAACACTTTTTTGGTTACTACATGATTCCATATGTGTTATTTCATAGTTCTGATGTCTTCGCTATTATTCTACAATGTAGAAAATAGTCAAAATAAAGAAAAACCCTTGAATGAGTAGGTGTTCTAAAACTTTTGACTGGTAGTGTACATACATAAATGCATACATACATATGTCTCTCGACAGTCAATGCTTATACGCCTTTAGAGGTCAACTGTTGGTTGATTGCTGTGATAAATGGCTAAGTGCTCTGAAAATATAATTCGATTGACATTTTCATAGAGCCAATTTCTATGTCAACAAAAATAATTTGATTAGGCCCAACTGATTGAATGATCAATAGACTGAATACTGATTGACATACAGTCCCTTGATTCCTATCTAAGTGAATTGATCACAGTAAATCCACAGTGAATGGTAGTATAGCCATCCACTTGCTCAGGGAGCGGTTATCAGGGTGTGGGCCTGAGTCACCCTGGATGATGACATAACATTCTATAATGGCCATAGTCTCACTGTGGCTCAACATTCACTTACAGACTTTTTTATAAAGACATTGGTTGCGTCTCAATTTGCACCCTTTTCTCTATAGTGCACTCTAAATTGCACCATATTCTCTATACTTTTAACCAGGGCTCTGGTCAAAGGAGTGCACTATATAGGAATTAGGGTGCCATTTGGGACGCACACATTATATGTGTATGGATTTAATGGATCATGATGTAATCCTGTATTAGAAGGACACACAGTCATCTCCCAATCATAGAAACCATCAACGTAGAGTTCAATACTGTATTTCACCATTTAAACCACTCACTAATGGATCAACATTAGCTAGATTGCCATTAATGTGATGTCATGAATGTTTGATGACATCATGCTGTGAATATCAAGCAAGCAGGAAGAGACTGGATTGGAGCCATAATTAACTATGAGATTAGCAAACTAGAAAGAATGTGTTGAGAAAGATAGGCCATGTTGATATACTAGAAATCTGCAGAGCTATGTAAATACAAAAAAAGTATTATATTTTCTAATTGTTTGTTTTCTCATGCAAATCCATTGACAAAGAAAAAAAGAATGGCAATTTAAGCGGAGGTTAAATCCATGAAATCCCATTTTCTGATAAGGAAGGTTTTGTGTTTGTTGTTGTTGGTGTGTGTGTGTGTGTGCGCACACTCAGGCCTGTGGTCCACAATGTGCAACATTCTACTGGCCTATGTGAGGCGAGGCAGGGTAGGCAGGGCTTGGTGCTCTGTCAGTCCACTATCCTATCTCCTCCCTCTAGTAAAGCCAAGAACAGACTGTGCACTGCACAATGTAGCTACTAATCACAAAACCAATGGGGGGGTTTCCTCTATGCACTCCTGTCTGTGGCAGCCAGGCTGCACTATAGAAATTGATTTACTAGAATGAGAATCCCATGAGGGTGCAGTCAAATTGCGGTGGCCTGGGTTGTTTCCTGTTCTACTCATTCTAGTTCTATGGTGTTTCCACTCCTGTCTGTGGCAGCCAAGCAGCACCATAGAAATATAATTACTAGAACGAAAAAGAAAACCCTGACAGCACCATCGAAATATAATTATTCTAACAGGTAAAACACTTCAGGCCATGGCAATTTGACTGCACCCTCATAGCATTCCAATTATAGTGATTCTATTTCTATGGGCAGAAGCACAGCCCTGGCCTGCATCATGTATGGGAGCTCTATTACTGGGTAAGCCAGTCCAGCCGAGCTGGTGGCCCCAATTCACATAGAGGAAGAGGAGAGATGGGCCTAACCCGAAGCCGAGGGTAATTCAGCATACATTTGACAAATGGACAACCGGAATCCCAGAATGTAGGGCTTGTGCACATCTGCAAAAGGAAGACGAGGGAGGGGGAGAGAGAGAGATGAGGGTAATGGGCTAGCCACCATCGGAATGCTGAACAGCTCTACGACTACAACTCACACACACACACACACACAACATATCCAGGACACCACCCAACGATTGTTTGAAGGGAGAAAACACTGCAGAGGGATGGAGAGACAAGGACAGCATTCATGCGCTGGGAGAGGCCAATCAAAAGAGCCATTAACTAGCACATGAGACCAATCGCATCAGAAGAAGAGCAGCAGCTCGGGCAAACGGGTGTCTCCAAACGGTCACGATTCTCCCTCGAAATCACACATAGCTAGTTCCTCCAAAACAATGTAACAATAGCAACAGAGAAAAGCTGTCCATATGTAGCCTAATTTGATCAAAGCAAATCTTATAATGCTATAAATACTGAACTTTAACCCTTCATATTCCTCACGACTGCGACGGTGGAAATGCATCTAGTTACCATTTAAGAAACTTCCTTAAAATCTAGAAATCTATGAAAATATAAACACTAGTCTCCCTCTGAAAACTATTCCTGTAAATTGCTGCTATCCCCATTGGTCATCTCACCAGGCATCACTCCACTCTAGCTACAGTTGGAGGTACACCAGAGGGGGTATACAGCCAATGTCATTGAAGCCAGACTGTAGTCCAAACTCTGAGTCATGCTAGACTACATCAATGTGTGGGACTATTGCTGGTCTGGCTATCAGTACATTACATCTCTCTAAAGGGTAAAAGTAGGACAAAATGAAGGTCTTAGAACAAAAATACATTTAAAAAATGGCACTGAATGTAGCTGAATGTGGAAGTCCTCCCATTTAGTGTGTCTGGAGGTGGTATGTTGTTTACATTTACATTTTAGTCATTTAGCAGACGCTCTTATCCAGAGCGACTTACAGTTAGTGCATACATTTTTTCTTTTTTTTTCATACTGGCCCCCCATGGGAATCGAACCCACAACCCTGGCGTTGCAAACGCCATGCTCTACCAACTGAGCTACATCCCTGCCGGCCATTCCCTCCCCTACCCTGGACGACGCTGGGCCAATTGTGCGCCGCCCCATGGGTCTCCAGGTCGCGGCCGGCTACGACAGAGCCTGGATTCGAACCA